GACTTGAACCTATATGGGATACGATATGCATAGTAAAGACTAACTTTATTTATTCATATTGGATTCAATTTCAAGGGTCGATACATCTTATTAATTACACTGTAATGCTAATATAAAATACTCGAGGATAATAATATGGAACTGAGATTCCTACTTTAAATATTTTAAATGCAGATGTAATATATAGTAATAGGTGCTGGGAGAGAACTGATATTCTGCCTGACGAGTCGGAAGTCATTAACTCAGATAATGACATTGAGATAGAAGATGAAATCGTACAATCACTTATTGATCAAATGGGTTGTTGACTATTCCGTCATGAGAGGAAAAGACTATATTGAAATTGACAGTACTTTAGAAACAAACAATATTCCTAATGATAATGAAAATATTGCAGCCGTCCAAGAAGCTCCTGAGGATGAAGGAGAAGATGATGACAAAAATGGGTTTTGATGGTAATCTAACAAAGTGGCTTTAGAAAGCATTCAAAATTTATATAACTATTTGCAGCAGAATAACGATATAAAAGTAAGCAGTTTATTAGTTTCAGGGTTAAGAGACTTAAAATGGAAAATTGTGAAGAAGCGAACGGATTCTTCGATTCAAATGAGCATGGATATTTATTTAGAATGATGGTTTTTCCATCTAACGATTCGCTTTCTATAAAATAAATTTTTACTAAATTAGTCACGTAGATTCGATAAGTCGGTCTACCAGGGCCAGCCATCCGTGACCGACTTATCGAGTCTGCCTATGTATATGATATTCATAAACGGATAATTTGTAGAATTGCAAATGGATCATGAAACCTTCCATGCTATCTATCTGTTCAACTTTATCATCAAATTAGGTAAAAGAAAAGGCTTTAACGTCATCACGCACGCTTATTTGATCTCATGAAGCAAGTTTACTAATGTTTCGAATAATGATAGTTTTATCCTGCGCCATTATAATAATTCATGATCCCCAGTCATGTAAGGCGCCAACAAAGATCAGAATAATGCAAATTCCAAACCAACCTAATTTAAATTAGTTACTTTTATTTGGAAACCGGCGAAACGGAAGTAGTGCCCGCTATACACAGTAAAGTCCGGTTTAACGAAGATGGCTTTATAACGAAGTTTTTTTGGAACTGTTTCATTCATATATTATAAAAATAGAGTCCGCATTAACAAATACACGTAGTCCGTATTAACGAAGTCAGGCGATGGAACGGAGCACTTCGTTAAACCGGTGTAGTTATTATTATTATTATAGTTATTATTATTGTTGTTGTTATGCATTTGTTAATTGTTATCATCATCCAATCAAATCCTTGTGAGAGCTGAATAATTCTGATTATCATGATAGCTGAATAATTAAATTGTCAAAAGTACGCCATCCAAAAGTCCTTAGTAATCATCACGATGTTAAGCTTGGATGATGTCATTAGAACTGTGTATAAATATTGCATGACCTGCCGCTATAATAGAAAATGTACGGCCCGTTTGCATCAAAAATATTAGACTCTTCATTTAAGGCTCTAATTGCATTCAGCCGAAACCAAACATCACTACCCTCAAGTCGATATTGGATAAGACGAACCATGTCAAGGTATGAAAAAGTTGAATTCGAATTCTGTTGTTTGATTTATACATTTATTGTTGATGCCCCCATTACGTTTCTTTAGTACTAGTACCAACCAAGAATCTCTTCCTCCAATTTACAAATGGGCATCAACGGATGGCGAATTCAGAAGAGCACCGACTAGCTTCCGTAATGTTATTGAAAAGGATGCCAATTCAGGAGCACAATTTGTTGCAGAGAAGTAAATACAACGCATGTTTTTACATCAAAAGATACAATTGAGTATGAAATTCATGTTTAATGCTTCATCATTAGGGATAGATATCATCTGTATATCAGCTGGGCTTGCCCATGGGTATGTCATTGTATACGTCTCGTCTATACACGGTACAATGGATATGCATTAGAAGATTAATACGTGAATTTCATCTATTCTTCCTTTATGTCATTGTTATTCTCACAGGCTCATAGAACAGTACTTGTCCGCGCCCTCAAGGGTTTGGATGACGTAATTGGTCTCAGTGTAGTAGATCATCACCTGGGACCTAAAGGTTGGAAGTTTTCCACACCCGAGGAATGTCCGGGTGCTATCCCGGACACCGCTAACAACAAGGCGTATCTTTCAGAGCTTTATTATATGGCTTGGCCTGAATATAAAGGACGGTTCACGGTACCTGTATTATGGGATAAGAAACTTGGAACTATTGGTAAGTGGATAACAATAAAGTTAAATTGTCACGTTCGATGACTTGTACTAAGAACATTCGACGGTTTGGATTATCAGTGAATAACGAATCATCAGAGATTATTCGCATATTCAACACGACATTCGACGACTTTGTACCCGAACACGCGAAAGGCTTGACTTTCTACCCAGAAAACCTAAAATCTGAAATTGATAGTATCAATGAGTGGGTTTACGATTCAGTGAATAATGGCGTATACAAATCTGGATTTGCTACTACTCAAGAAGCGTGTAAGTTTATGCAATATTTAATTGCATGACCTTTACCAGACGCTAACTTTATTCTGTTGTATCAGACGAGAAGAACGTAGCGCCGTTGTTTGAATCTTTAGATAGGTTGGAGAAGATATTTTCAGAGCATGAGTTCCTAGTTGGGAATACTTTCACCGAAGCAGATATTAGACTCTGGACTACTATCATCAGGTTATTATAAAAGATCATTGTCTTTTGCAAGTATTTACGCATATTGACATTTGATATTGCGTTCTCCAATGCTCTTTCGACAGATTCGACCCTGTATATCATGGACACTTCAAGTGTAATGCGAAATCAATTGAAAAGGACTATCCTCATATTCTCAGATGGGCCAGGCGTATCTATCAAATGCCAAAGGGTAAATTACGACTCGGTTCTTCTTGTTAATATATACTGATAAGAGAGAGTGCTAAAATGTCTCGGTTTTACAAATAGTTGCGCAGACTGTAAACATGCACCATATTAAGCATCATTACTATGGGAGCCAAAAAAACATTAATCCCACGGGCATCGTTCCTGTCGGTAACGGACCAGGTAAAAACCTCGACATTGAGTGGCCAATCGTATTTTCGCTCAATACGACTGACTTTTTTTTGTTTCAATTCAGATCTCTCCAAACCAATCATTCTTTAATGTCTGTAAACTATGTCATAACACATGCGGATTTGCCAAACAACTGCGTTTTGCGGTTGTCGCCATTCCAAGTCATTTTATTTGTTTTCGATCTTATTAAATAAAAACGAACATTGTCACTTGAACCAATCGTCCTAAACTCGCTCTCATAGTGGCGGATAAGTTAATTTCTCTTCAGGATAAGCAGGCCCGACTAACTGGATGCTCTTACGTGCCAACCAATGCGCAGCAGCAACTGATTCACCAATAGTCTTGCCTTGCACATATTGACTCAAAAATCCACCAACGAATGCATCTCCAGCACCATTTGTATCGACAATGTCTTTTTTATCGATTAGAGTCACTGGGTATTCGTTTACGGTACCGTTTGAATAGGCCACAAGCGTGGCGTTCTCTCCCTGTGTGATGACTACTATGCGTTCTCGTTTGGAATTGACTTTCGGAAGCTTGCTGATATGCAGTGCGATTTGTTTTATATCTTTGGTCTTTTTACAAGAGCAGATAGTTAGGGCTTGTTTGAAGGGATAAAGGAAAAGATGAATGGCTACCAATACTTACATCCCAATTATGATTTGTCGCATATGCCTCGGCTTCAGTTTCGTTTCCAAATAGAATGTCACAATACGGTAGCACAGAATCCAATTGATCTTTGAAGAATTGACATAAGAACGCAGCCGATAGATTTAAGGTAAATGGCTATCATGTGCGCAATGAACTAGGAGTGTCAGTATGCACTCGCAGCGAGATGGATCGATCTCATGTACAACATTTCACCTTATTATGTTCCGCAGCATATTTCGCAACTTCTAAGATAGACTCTACGGAAACTGTCAGGAAGAAACCTCCAATATAAAAGTAGTCTGCATTCTCAACCCACTTCCATTTCTCCGGAGTCTTGATATCAGACACGTGGTACTTCTCTGCGGCAGAAAGGTTGGCCACAAGTGACCTAATTGTTTGGTGCATGAATTACAATTTCAAATTAGGTAAAAAATGCAATGCAATTCACTTACCTGTTCTGTCCAGTGATAATGGCTGCACAGGTTCCCGTTGGAACATCATTAACAACCATGTATTCAACCCTCAATCCGTCTTTTTCAGCGGCTTGACGCAGTTTGACTGCAAACTGGTCGTTGCCTACACAGCCAACATAGACTGTTGACTGTGGTGGCAATAAGTACTAACATTGCACGAAATTTGAATTTGTAAGCAATTCACGCTACTGTTTTTTTACTCAGACAGTACTTACCTGTGCCCCACGGGCTGCGTTCTGTGCTGCGCCGCCGGCAACATATACTGGAGTATAATCTTGAACTAACTCTTCAAACCTTAAGGTGAGTAAAATGTGCTGACGTTAGCAATCATGAGATATCAGAAGGATGTGCATTTGCAAATGATAAGGTAAAGTATATGTGCTCAAAGACTGTCTTCTACGGCATGAGAATGTTAATAAATCATCTACTGAACGGCGTGAAAATAATAGAAAAGGGTACTTGCAATGGTTTGTGCTTTTCTTCTGCCAAGATAGATGCATTGGCTTCCAAGCCGTATCTGCAAAAATTTTAGGGCATTAATCAGAATGACTCTTATTGAAAAGCTTCCGTAATAACTCTGGTCCGCCACTTATTCATCAACCCACTTGTTCAGCAAAGACTCATCACCATTGACTTGTATATCCAAAAGAGGATTTCCCATGCAGAACAGCTTATACTCGCCCATGTTTGATATATATCTTTGCTAAAGAAAAGAAAAACCCCAAACCTCGCATTTGATTCATTACAAATCAAGCAATTTCGCCCGAAACACGGGTTACAATAGGAAGTTACACACAAGACAATGACCTGCGCAAAAATCCTGCGGGCGACAACGGGTGACATTGCAAATCCTTATTTAAAGGGGGCCATAAAACCCCCCTCTACGGAAGATCTCACCCACTCAATAGTAACTCTGTAGAATAGACATCCAAAGACATTGCTTAGCTTATTTTCTTTGTATAATACAATACATTACAATGGCACTTAAGAGAATTCAAAGGGTATGTACAGATTGTGATTTCTGATCAGTTGAAGTTCATTGCTAACGATGCTAACAACGCACACACACACACCCACACCCACACCCACACCCACACCCACACACGCACAGGAACTCGTTGAACTCAGTAAGAGCCCGCCGGTTGGTATAAGTGCTGGCCCTATTGAAGATGATATGTTCCACTGGCAAGGTAGTTTATTATTATTGGCGTGGTTCGTTTGGTATAGTTTCCGTCGTTAACGTTTTGTTTCCTTCACTTTAGGAACGATTATGGGTCCCGTAAGTGCCTGACTTGTCACCAAATCTGAAAGATTACACACTGCAATATAACTTGACTGAATATTGTTCTCTTCATCTAGGCAAACAGTCCGTATAAAGGGGGCACATTTCGGGTCAGGATCGAGTTTCCTCAAGACTATCCGTTCAAACCGCCAAATGTAAGTGTCATGGTATCGAATGTTATATTACATGTCATTAGCTAATGCTTATTACTTACTTATAGCTAAAGTTTACTACACGAATTTATCACCCAAATATCGATGACGATGGAGGCGTTTGTGTAAACTTGTTGAAGAGCGATGTTTGGAAACCGGCAACAAAGGTCTCTCATGGTGAGTAAAATGTGTATGTCGTATGGTCAGATTTTATAGATCGATGAAGTAATTATTAAATTGAATATCTCTTAAATAGTACTCGAGTCTCTTGCCAGTTTGCTCGAAAATCCAAATCCTGATGATGCTTTAATGGCATCGGTAGCAGAAGTGTATAATACAAATAAGACAAAGTTCGTCAAGACTGCCAAAGAATATGTAAAGAAGGTAAGCTTCTAGTTCCATGTAAAATGTCGATCTTCCAATGTCTTGACATTTAATAGCTTATTTTACATAACATTCTCAGTACGCATTGGCGTGACATGATACGATGGTCTGATCAAAAATCTAAACGAAACTTTTCAGTAATACTCACGAATAGATGCACGTTGTGTAATTGACATTGGGATGGGGAAAAGGACACTGTTACTTGTATAGATGCAAGCGTTTAGTTTTCACTAATAAATTTACTTATATATTACGAACTACATTCAGCAATCATGAACCCCAACCTTTTCAATATTTCCCCTTTCTTTTTAATAATATAACAATATTTCATGCCTGAAGTCAACAGGTTTATCAGAGGTCACTCCTGCCCATTCAACTAGCCCCCCAGAATTTGAGAGTTTATTGCTTCGAAACAGCTGACTTCAATGATTGAAATCAAAATCGTGTTTAATTTAATGTGTCATTAATCTTGTATTTGAATGCATTACAATAAATATCATCAATTATCTATAGAAGGTGGAAAGAAGATTTCTTTCAAATTTCCCCAGAATCCCTTGTCAAATATGTTCTCGACTTCTTTAACACTTTGAACTTGTGTTCCATCATAATCATTCTTACCCCTTGGGCCACCCAACCTCTGCTTCCGTTCTTCTGCTGTTTCGTTCCAATAAAGCTTTATTTTCTTTGATATTTTAGCGTGTTTGGCTAGTTTGGCATCATCTACATCGAACTCCTTCTCGTGCATGTAAAGCTCTCCCATTTGGATTATTTCGTCAAGGTCCTCCCACTTGAATGCTTCATTTGCTGTCATGCCACTTTTGATCAAACTCAACTGATAGCCTAGGAAAGCAAGAATCACGAAACCAACTAAGAATGCGAAAATGCCTAACGCACCCAAGAGTCTTTGTTGGTGGATTAAAAACTGCAATATTGAATCATAGATGTTATTGAGATTATCATAAAGCGAATGGTTTAAATATGAACGGTCGATTTGCTTACCAACACGGCTTGATAAGTTGTTATTGGCATACTTTTGCCTGTTTGAATGTTAGACACATAAGCGGACATCAAGTTCATATCCTTTGCAATACCCATAAATGCGTAGACAACCAGGTATGTTCCGTAGAAACATATTTGAATTGTTGCGTAAAGAAATAGTAGAAAGTACCGATAGTTCTTTAAACCAACGCAATTATTGATCCATGCGCCTATATAAGGGTTACGCGAGTTAAGATGTAGTAACGATATTAACGATATTATTTGATACTAACAAATTACTAAATCTTGACATACAATGATGATCGCATTTTGCAACGCACACGTTGCAGAGCGAACAATGCTTGGAGCGAGCAGGCCTAAAGGAAATAATAAATATGTTAGAACAATTCCAACAACGGTACTCGCACACTAGGAGTTATTCATACTTTTGTATTAGACAAGTTCTACATTGTTTGGGTTCGAACAACACCAAGTCATACTGGAATGCTTTGCAAGCTTTAAACACGTTTTCTCGCGTGACTCTTCCCGGGTCGCTCCGACTTGCAATGAACATCGTCGCATATGTAAATATGATTATAAGGTTCGAAGTGTATCTAAACAAAAAAGTTGTCAACTGTCAGTAATTATGCATAACCAATACATGAGTGTATACACACCATGTGATCAGACGTTTATGCTATGGTTAATTGCAGACGTTGCAGCGATTCGTAGCATTCACTCTCGGACGTGCACTTACAAATGAATCCTAGAAAGATATGGTCCGGGAATATGTGGCCATACAGACACATAAAATGCATAGACAGCACCAGTTATTAGAAAAAGATACACCATCTTATTAAAAGATACGGTAAGTATTGCATAACATGAATTCAGTAAGGATAGTTTGTTCCCAAAGACTTAGGTCTCTATATAAGCTTAGCGTAAATCAACATTTGCGAGATTACACCTTCACACACCTGTAATGCAGGATTTTTCTCTTCCATTAGGTATCGATATATACCATCAAATTTACCAGACAGGCGAGTGCCACATATGCGCCTATTTACGCTCCTATAGTCCCAGAATACAAAGCATATTAATAAAGAAACTGCACTTCTATTGCCGGAAAAGTCAAGAGTTTACATACGCTATTCCGTTTACTAGAGTGACTGTCAGGAAACGATGTATCATGCCAATCGGCCCATTTCTGTAAACAAAGAACACATTAGTGACGATAGGATCAATGACATGAGTTCACGGCGAATAAATACACGCAAGCCAAACCTGAATTTCTGTGAAGGACCCATTAAAAGTACAAACACAATAAAACTAAAGACGACAAAGTATGCCGCCATAGCAATAAAGGGATCCTACAACGTATGTATACATTACACACAACACTAGACAACTTTCCGTAATTCGGAGACTTTCCATCATTTAACTTGAGACTTACCATCTTGAATTTTAGCGGTATTGACAATAGCCGTACTAAATTTTAGTTTAGCCTGAAAACCTTCCGTGCTGTTTCCAGTAAAAGTTACGTTATAAGTTGGATTGCTTAGAGTGTTTATGCTAGGCTGTGGGAAACTTAAGATTAGTCTGAAAACAAATCAACTCTATTTTGGTGAAGCAAACGCGTGATTGGTGGTTTCTTAAAAGTTACACCAACTCGAACAGTCAAAAATTTTGAGTTGTCCCCAATTTTACCAATAATGACGACAATAACTTTTTCTCATGGAATTTCAGCATCGTTTGCTGCAAGACTTACAATTTCCTTTGTAAAGCAGTTGTTGTTTATGAGAGGGCAAATACCATGGTAATAGAAACACGCGTCTTGTGCGAATCTTATTACACACTATGCTCAATTTCCATTTTTGTTGCTTGAAAAAAGTCCATTTCAGCAGATTGAAAAATTGTTACAGGAAGCTTGTAATGGGAAACAAGTAACGGTTCGCAATTTAATATTCCCCTTTTTAACGAAGGATAACACAGTTGACGAATGTTTGAGCAACTACCTTGTCACAACAGGTTGATGAGAACAAGACTTCTAACAAGAAAAAGTGTCACAACAAGAAAATAAAAGACGTAAGCATATGTCGAGTAAGCTTGTATATTTCTCGAGTCTTGTTTACGAAAAGCTTTACTCAAGACCCATTGATTTTTTGTATAGTTTATGTTATCATCACAAAATATGTTTGCCAGTATAAAATCAACGCTTCAGCATATTTTTGACAATTACGACTGTTTGCCGACTCTATCTCTTTCGATTATAATAGGCCATTCTGCCACCAACCCAAAAGAGATTTATTTACTAAAATTTGTCAATTTGTACTCGGATCGTATGAGAAAGGTAGATGAGAACACTGTCGTAACACAGTTGCAGCAAGAAGATGCTGCAGAACGCCGGTTCTTAAGATCGTTGATTCATACGATGAGTGACGTACCCGCAGGTATTCGAATGTCGGGACTGTGAATCAGGTCTCCAAAGTGCATATTATTGATTTCGATTTCCACAACGGCTAGCCCCTAGTCGACTCCATTTGCTCTTCCAGACATTCAGAGAAAACCCTCCGCCAGAACTCATTCCAAAACAATTGTTCAAACTCAATACATCAAAAATATTGTCGCAAAATATTATATGTGAAGGACAAAGGAGGACTTTGTCTTCTGAAGCTTGCGAAATGGAGGATGTCTGCATAAAAGTTGACCCACAAACAATAGTGTTAAAAGGATGCGAAGAGAAAGTCGATGGTAATGACAATAAAAGCGACTGTGAGTACAAGAGCCTGACAGATGAAACCCGGGAGAATGGGTGTTCAGTGAAATGTTCCGAAGAAACCGGTAAGGGACAAGATATAACTGGAATACTGTACACTAATTCGACAAAAAATACATATTGCGAAGGCAATAAATCGGATAAATCGGGTATCAAAAAACACGAAGAACTTTTGTGGGACACGATTGAAAAACAAGCTATAAATGCACAAAAGCAGTTACATGCTAGCAATAATATAGATTCAGGAACACACCTTAAAGAGAAAAGTCACAATAGTCAAGAAGACGTACTTGGGCGTGATACTATTCTGTCCAATGATGCATCAGCCTCTAGAACGCATGAATGCAGATCCAACAAGTTTGAACATTGGAAAGGAGCAAAGGAACAAACAACCTGCTCAAATACGAAATATCAGAATTCACATTCGCATTTTACTTATGACGAAGATGACTTGATTTGGTACCATTGTAAAGTCAGCGTTAATGGAATGGCAGCTTACTCCTTTGTTTTCGGAGATTAAATATTGTAATTCAAGAAAGTCAATAAATAACAGTGCATAGAAAAAGCCGTTTATTGCACTACTACAGTCATCTTGAGATTTCTTTCCCAGTTTGATTCTAGTATGGCCCTAATGTATGTCAAACAACGAAGGGGGTTTATTTCAAGTATACTACCTCAAAACGCGTGAAAAGCATGTTGTAATGAGAAGTAATAATTGCTCTTTCAGTACAACTTGTTTAGTGAGATTTATTTCTGCCTAATGAAAGTGTTGACTATAATGTCTAAGAGATTCGGAGTTTATACAATTATTTGATAACATATTCTAGGACTGTCATTGGAGTCAACCAGACAAAGGAGTCTCAACATTCAGTACAGTATTACGTAAAGAACCGTTTTCAGATTCGCATTGATCATAATTACAAATTGATGTGTACGAAAATAATGGGTTATACTAAATATGAAAGTGGCTGAATATGAATCATCAACATTGGGCAAAGCGCGTTAAAAATGTATGAAGTGATATTGTAAGCATCCAATTCATTTACATCCCTCATATTTCTTTCGTGGAAAATTACTGCAAGTCATATTATCCTATCGGAAAGAAATGTGGATGCGATGAATTGATTTAGTTTACGGTGAGCTTAATTCCAAATGCCATGCTAATTAGTTTGGTTAATTTAATGTTAGCTTGTAAGAGTAAAATGAGAAACAAGTTTTAATCGAATTTTCCTTGTCATAGGCTACCAAACAAGTATCAATGACAAGTCACCAATTAGCAAAATCAACAAATTTCTGACACACTGTATATATTGATAGCGACTATGACTGGTATCTAGCTTTAACCGCTAAAAAGCTCTCCAATTCACGACGAAGTAAATACGAACGAACAAGGGATGTGTTGAGATGGTACATTATTTCAAGAAAGATTAACGGCTATAGATCTAAAAAAGAACTTTACCAATGAACGTGTTTAGTAGTTAATTTATGAGTACACGTAATTGAAATTCCTTGTTTCAATAAATTAATTAACGATTAAGCCTTTATTACATTTGTGAGAGACTAAGATGTAGGCCAGTACAGATCGAAGTAAGGGAAAAAGGAAGAGATGAGGAGCGGTAATAATGTGGTAAATTGTGTGTCGCGAAATTAGAAGAAAGGGTGGTTACAAATTGCCCACACTCGGGGGGAAGAAGGAAAATATCACAGGGAAAGTAGGGAAAGGGCGTCAGCTTGTCAATCAAAGTCGAGATCGATACACTCGGTTCGCTTTAGAGCACAAAAATACCGAGTGCAATTGCAGCAAAGACGGCAATTGAAGTACTAACAACAGCAGGTGATCCGATAGCGGCAGCAGCTATTGCATCAGCCACATATTGACCAGTAATGTTTGGAATAGTATTTGGATTCTGGTCAGGAGACTGCGGTAATCCTTGACTCGGTGGTGTTGTAATATTAACTTTAGTGACATCACTCTTAGTGATAGTAACGTTTCCATTAGCATCATAGACGTAACTGTTCACGCTGCTGTCGACCGAACCCCAGGAAGGATCTACTTTGATATTTCCCGCACCCTGTACACCATAGCACTCTACGACTACAGATTGGACCTGGGCATAAAAATAACCTGGCGACTGAATATCTGGAGCATTCCAATTAGTTGCACCGCCAGCCCAATTTTTGGTGCCTTCAGGACCGTCACCAGCATCCCAAATTGACAGTTGGATACGAGAAGGTGATTGAGGATAATCATAGTTTCCTGTTGTTTTGTTATAAGTATCAGATTTCTTTACTGTACGGACAATTTTGCCATCAATTAACCATGAGAGTTGGTCTTGTGACCAATCGATCCCGTATTCATGAAAATCAGTGTAGATATTTCCTCCAACTGGCTCTTTGACGCCCTTCGTGTCTGAGAATTAAATAGTATGAATATTTAAGTGATAACATATAGAAATACATGGTTGTTTATGCTATACTTACAGTCTATATATCCTCTATAGAAGTAGTTACTTTGACCAGTCTGCAAGTCGTAGCCGAGAAATTCCCAGTCAATCTCGTCTTTGATATTGGACATGGTACTGATGGAAGCAAGGTAAACCAAAACTGATGTTAAACACAATCATCGGTAGACAATATATTACGTTGAAAAACCTACTTACATGAAAGCAGTCACGATACCGACAGACCTTGCCGCCTTTATTTTAGCAAGAACCCTACCATAATACAAATATCTTGTAGTCGAGACACGCGTGCCTTGAGTGCCTTTGGCAAGACTCATAATTAAATTTCCGCCCGTGAATAATGGTTGCCCCTCGTAAGTAAAGTCGACATCCGTTCCACCAGTATACGAACTGGTTGGTTGTAATCTTTCAGGTTTATCAAATGTGTACAGATTGCTTATACAGATAGGGTTAGGTGCACATGAAGTCGGTTTGAAGCTAAGAAAAGGGTTGCAACCGCCTAATGAAGAGAAATGAGCGTGAGCGAAATTCATTATGATAAATGAAACTTTGCTAACATTCTGGTTACTTACCAAGACAGAAACGATCGGTACCGCAATAACCAAATTCTGGAGCATAAGTTAAACAGCGTTCCCATTATTGTGAGTTATTAATTAGAATTCAGCAAGAAGTTTGACTTGATAAGGCTTTCTTCTTTTCAAGCCTTTGACACTAACCTGAACAACAAGGTGCTGACTCTGGACATGGAGACTTGTCCGAACACTGAATTTGGGCATTAACTTGCAGAAGGCATAGAACCAGTATTAAAAGACCTATTCTTGATATTTTATTTCCGAAGTATCCCATCTTCACAGAAGATCTATGTCTATAAGCTTATGTGTTTCCAAGGAGTGAGAGTTCTAGGTCTCCCGTATATGTACGAGAGAGAGGAAAGGATGAAGGGGGAAGCGCTCAGCTAGCGCTTGTGGGCGGTATTAAAGAAAGGAAGTTTTTTCCGTGGCAAGGATAGCCTTGGAATATATGGAGTGTGTTTTGGGCAAGAGATAAAGGATGAAAGAAAGAATGGATATAATATGTGGACATGCTCGACTCTCGGTTAATGCTGAAGGTTGTACAGCATCCATTAGATTAATCCAAATTTGAGAAAGATCGACGGAGGAATAACTTTTGTGGTATAGTAGATTGTACAGGGTCTCTTGGTAACTGTATTTAGAAAAACGGGGTTTACATAATTGGAATTTTTTAATCTATCAATCGGTCGTTAGGAATTGAATGCTCCCGTCAACGATAACCTTGAATTCTTATTTTGGAAACACTCTTTTAATATTCAATTGGTTTCTGTACGGAAACGTTAGCAATTACTTTATAACGAGCAGTCATCGTTACATTGATATGAAACAATTTATGTATCCAAGCTTTCTTCGAGATGCTCAAACATCAATTAATGATATTCACCTCTTTTACTAATTAGGCCAACCATTAGATTTCTTTTTGGCGATTTTTGTTTTTACATGATTATTATGATATCCTAATATACCGTATATAATTTACTCAATGAAAAAATGTTGAACTTCCGCCCCAAAACTCCCAAACTTACCCAAGATAGTCAAAATACCAATTACGATAATACATAAATATTTGACTGCATTTAACTATCTGCCCTTCTACAAGGTCTGCACTGAGAAGCGGCCCGTTAAGTCTTTAACAATGGGTTAGGCCAGGCGCTTTATTGGATCGGATATTAAATACTAATACGGTTTGCGTAAATTATCAGTCACATGAGCTATTAGATGTTATTTGGCAAGAGACAAAACCTAAAAAAGATACCAAAATGAATATACAGTATGAATCATTAGTATTAAGGCAACCCAAAATGTTGGTGTATATTATCACAATAATAAAATAACGGAATCCACTTGAAACTAATGGCTACGTCTTAAGGAATGTGTGCCATTCGCATATATCATGTGGCCAGTGTCCCATATTGATTGTGCAATATGGCATGAGGCGAAGGGTGTCGCATTTAATGTTTGGGTTGGCCAATAGCCATGGGATGTCGATAGCGGTAGTTGTGGGTGAGGAAGTAAGTTAACGCGAGGAACTCAATAGAACCCCTCAGATTGTCCTTTTAATTATCTACCTAACAGCGAATTTTCTGCCGGAACTATGTACCTAACTATAGTTCTCCTTTACTTTCGCCTTCTACTTCCTCCTTTTCTTCTAGACTCCACTCTCCCTTCCTATTCTTCCCTAATAGATTGTCCCACTGTTCTTTTTTCCCACTCTCCATCGTTCTGTAACTTGGGATTATTTTTTTTGTGGCTCTGTCCCGCCACGAATGGTATGTGTGGTGGGGATATTAGACGTCCCACATGGCATTACATAATAGGCAGTTCTAACAGTAGATAACATAGTAGATTATAGGTTCTTTGGGACAATCCCCAACTTGTAGTTTTCGTTTGCGGGGAGCGCGGTTGGTAGGTCACGTGAACGGTAAAGCAGCAAACCCAGTTCAAATCGATTCAAGTAACAAATCCCACTAGTCATAATAATTACAAGACGCTATAGCGTTAGACTTGTGTGTATCTAACAAGGGCGCAAATTTTAATGGTCATTAATATGTTAATGTAGGCCAATGCCATATTAACAGCATGCACATGTATATGATATCTCGTCAGCGTCTCATCGAGTTAGATCCCAAACTCCAATTGAACGCGAAAAGCCAACTGACATATTATCATTACCCAAATTAATGTATCCCGTAGAACTGATTGTCGAGGTAGTTCAGTAAGTATACTAATACTCGACTTTTATGCAAAATCTTTTGCAAATTCTTGACCCCATACTCGGTAGTTAGTAATAAAGCCGCGCAATATAATCCTAAATAGTTATATTCACTTTTTCCGTTTGTTATAGCGCTCCCCGTGTGCAAATCTAAGCATCAACGTATGCGTTCCAAGAGGCTTAGCAATTGAGTAGAGAAACTTCGAGTTCACTAGATTGTAATGGTGAAAAGATTGTAATGATAGCAGCGTTAAGGACAGAGATATTTTCTTTAGGTAACTCTGTAGACATCTTTTAAAGAGTACCATAATACTTTAAATGCAACACACAAGTTTATTATGGTGTGGGTGATGAAAATATAGATACAAAGAAAAATGGGAAACAAAGGGTTATCGGAAAAGGGAATTGAAAGGTAATCATTATAATCATCTCTTTCTACAAAAAGTATAAATATTAAACAAAATAAAGTCGTTCCTGACGCCTCTTGAAGGGGTTGGCATGATATGCAGAACTCTTTTTATATAGATCACCGATTCGATTGACAAATAATTGAAACGCTTTAGTCTAGTTCCTCGGATAATAACTGACTGATTTCATTTCTTTGCTTTATTCATGAGTGGGTTTACAGCACACATCCAGATACGAGTCTTGTAGATCTTAAATAGATCGCGCACCAATTCGCGGAAGTCGATGCGACGCTCAGCAATGAAGTAGAAAGTGAGCTTGCGTCGATCCCTGTTAATAAGCAAGTATTATTTATCAGCATTGGAATTACACAAACTAGTGCCAGCAATATAGGCGTAAAAAAACTAACCATTGGTATTCAGCATCAACAACTTCCATAGGCAACTTCTTCTGCCGAACTTTGGTCTGACAGACTAGCATCGCCTTCGCTTCATCTTGATTCTTGGTTACTAACATAGTAACTTCTGCAGGCTGAGCCAGTCGATAAATCCGTTTGGGATGAATCTCTTTATTCACTCGATGTCCATCATTCATAGCTTCTGCTTGCTGCTGCAGAATTTGGACTTGTTGTGGTGTAATTGAATCGTTCGTTATTTTACCAAGATCCTTTCCTCGATCAGCCTCGACAATTACAAGATCACCCTTCTTCACAACTACACCACTATTTTCAGTTACGTAGAAGAGATCCGTACGTCCGGCTTTGAATTCGACAAGATATAGAGGACCGTGAGTTGGGATAGCATGAAGTGGAAGACCTTTGCCAAGTTCGTTCCATGCTCTCGTGCGAGATTCGTCATTGTCAAAGTAATCATCAACGTCTTCGGGAATACTTGGGTAGCTCGTCTCATTTGTGTATGATACGGGTTGGTGGTTACTAATGTGAAGATTTTCAAGAGCTTCCGGTAGATGGTAACGGGTTGTTTGAGGCAGGGATATAGCTGGTCCAGCGACTGAGTGACGTCTTTGTGCGAGATGTGCATAGCCGGCAGGATCAATTGTCGGGCTAACCAATGATATGGATAAGTAAAGTATGAAACAATTAGTAACGGTTATATATAATATGATAAATGCGTATCACGATAATAACCGAAAATTGAATCTTAATTGCAATTTTTAGTTATTCGATTATTTAAAGAGCTCGTTATTAGCCATTAAACTTAGAGCTGATATTTATGATTTGGATCACCGTTAAACCACTGCTAATACCGCTACAGAACCATCAGTATGATTACTTACCGATTGCTCATCATACGTAAATCAGGCGTTCCGTCCATAAATCGATATTCATGCCCATAGGGAGTAGCTTGCGAGACTGAAAACCTCCTTTGTCTCAGTTTCTCGTATCGATCCTGTTCCGTTGTGGAAGCCATAGCCGCCAAATAGGCTGCAGTTGGCGCCGAAGCATTAAAACTTTCCCACATTCCCGGATAATCAGAGGTCCCAGGCATAGATCGTCGGTGATGTAGCAATGGTCCTTCACTATGAGCACCTTGAGTGTTCCAAATAGACCCGGACTCTGAATACTCGGAATCGCGACGATAATCATTAACATCTTCAGCATGAGGAACTTCCTGGTGGGCAGAAATAATTCCATATGCAGCAGCAGAAGATTTAGAACGACCCCGGAATCGACCGGCGTATGGCAGGTCATCAACTTCCTCCTCCATAAGTGGCAGCGATTGCAGTGTATTACGATAAGGAATACTGTCCCGTCGAGATTGAGGAGCATATCCAAAAAATAAATCAGTGTCATGTTGTCCAACGGAGAAAGATAGACTTCTCTGCTGTCGATATTGTGGATTCGGTGGAACTGGTATAGGCAATTTCCCCATGCCAGGTGGGGAACCTATATCACGTTCATAAGAAGAATTATTATTGACCTCTTCATTCGCTACCACCGGCGCTGGTGTCGGAGATGCACGCGAAGCGCCTTTGGATCCTGAACCAGATCCTTGTTGTTGATTTTGACCGTTCCAAATTGATGTACTCGTCCATTGCAAACCAGGTAGGGCCCCCCACTTACCGTTAGCAGCGTCACCGTTTGAATGCACAATATTCGGCTGCTGTTGTTGGATTTTCGACGGTGAAGCATTGGATAACAATCGAGATGTCAACTCAGATCCTCCGTTCAAGTGTCTTTGGGGTGTACCTGGAGTGCTGGATGGTCTGCGTAGTTTTGGTTCCTGGGCATCGTCATCAGATTTTTTACCAGTCGAGGCTTGGTCATCAGAGTTAGGAGGGATCGAGTGAATGACACGATTCGGTGGACTTCCCACGACTTTCCAACTTTGACTGTATGGAGCACTAGCTACTGAAGTTGTTGGCGAATTGGGGGCAGGTGACGGGCTGTTCTTGCCGCTGTGGGAATCACCGTTGGCATTAGAGGTTTTTTGTGTGACAGAAGCGGGGCTTCCGGATCTGCCGGTGGACTTGGACTATGGGGAACAGAAGGGGAAATTTGGAAAGATGTGTACGTAATGACAAGATTGGTAATTTGGAACATACATAACAGAAAGAGTAAAGCGTCATGTTAGAACGAAGCCCAACAAACAATGAATTGTCTACATGATACGGGATCGATCAAATCTCCTTTTTCTGCTTCCTACAGTTAAGTTAGGGTAGTGTATCAGTTGGCTGTGGTGTTAAGCACCATTTATGATAAAACTCACCATTTTCCAAGCATTGTGAACCGTCTTTGTTGTCTCATGTGACTGAACAAAACAAAAGAAGGAATTAGCGGCCTGATAAATGTGTACGATAACGCAGTAATCTCGACGCTCAATGCCCACCCTGCGGGGCAGTTGCAATCTTCTTTTAATATAGTAAATCTTCATACCTCCATAACTTTTAAACTTTAATGCTCCTAAGGTATTGTTTATTTATAAGGAGGGAGATGAGTTTAAAATTTTTTAAGAAAGAAAATCGTTAAGTTTGGGCCACTATGTAGAGACAACGTATAACAGCAGTTCACAACAAAGAATAGTTGGTGAAAGCCTAAACGTATGGTACTATACCTTACAGAAAAGAAAAAACTCAGTTGCTTACACAAATAAATATTATCGTACAAACTGTTGAAAGAAAAAGCTACAAAGGAAAAGAAGAAAGGTTGTGCAAACCGCAAAATCTGTACACACTTTTATGCGCAAGGAATATATCTTCTAGTCAACTGTAATAAAAAAGAACAAGTGAAAGAAAGTATGGAATGTGAAATGGAAAGCTCAAGCGAGTGAATTATGCTCTTGCTTTTGGAACAGGAGGGGGAAAATGTACAAAGGACAAAGGGATTTCTATAAGTGCTAAATAATCTAAAGACCCTAATATTCTTATTTCTATTGGGAACCCAAGAGATAGGTTGGAATGGGCCCTATTTTTTGCAAAACCACTTATTCCAGGTTTTATTTATCTACAGTAACCAAGAGAAGAAAGGAAGGTGGTATTATCAAAATGGAAGAGTGGGTATATATATACAAAATAAGAAGTTTTCTGTGTATGTGTTATGAACAGAGTCTTTTCTTTTTCTGTAGTTTACGTAAAGGGGTATCACGCACGCAGAACAACAGAGTGAGTATGTTTGGATGGAGTTGGACAATATTTGTATAATATCGAAAATCGATATCTCGGCAAAAAATTCGACAATACCGTAAATGTGAATTCAGTAAGAGCCGAAAAAGCCAAGGGGAATTTAGGAATGGAATAGAAATTTATGGCAAATTTGGAGAAAAATATATGGCGTGGGTAGTCATAGTCGATAACAGTCGATAACAATTCAATCGATAACCCAAGGATACACGGACGGATATGCGAAAATCAACGACAGAAAGTTCGAGAGCCATATGGACAGTATATGAAATCATGTAACTGACTCATTAAGGATTCTGTTAATGTCTATGTAAACAGAGACGCACGATCAAATGGCGTCGAGTGTCACCTACCTATTATATGTAATCTGTCTACTAATCCCCCCTCCGCAGTATAACAAGGGCACTGCTGGATAACAACTGGAGCAATATTAATATGTGGAGTAAGATATATTTGGATCAAAAAGATTCGAAATTTAGCCTTTTGAGTGCTAAGATCTTGCCGACAGTTACCAAATCAGGACAGGTTGATGGATACCCAACCGATTCTCAGGCGCAGTGACGATGTGGCGGCAACGATGCATCTTACAAAGATTTCCTTGACCCGCCCCCGTCAAGATGTATTACACTCCGTTCTGCCCGAGTTGATATCAGTCATACGTAATCAGATTGATTAATACGACTAATGTAATGTTCTACAAACAAGCCATCTGTACACGCGGAGATTGTCACTCCGAATTAATGTTCGTGCACTGGTTAATCGAACATTCTTACCCAATGAGATTTGAAGCAATATAAAGTCATACGTGATAAAATCATGTGTAAATAACGTCTAATAACAGTCGGACGGAACTTGTATATAACAGGTAGACCGGGAGGACACAACCAATCTAGTGAAATAGACGACACATGCGACCCTGAGAATGTAGTATAAACCTACTTGCAATGTTTGCTTTGTCACAACACATCTCTTGACTGAATGGCAGAACACATGCACTTTACCTCATACCAAACAAATTGGTTCGAGATGGGGGCGGGAAATGGTTGTGTTAATACCGTGGTATTTGTTTGTGATTATCAGATTTATACATCTTGAAATGCCGTACCAACACTTACATTACTCGTGCCATTGGTTTTGGACAAAGGTCAGCCTTTGTAAATATAAACAAGCATTCTGGATCCTACAAATAAAGATGACAAGGGGATATTGACAATGGGACAACGCTGCATATAATTAATTAATGTGTCGGTGATACGTCATGAAATAAAAACCCGAGCTTGTAGTTCGTTTTATAGAATATGCATCGTTTTTCTGTCGACGTCACGATGCCCCTCGGATCAGCAGGTATGATAACCTTTTTTATTCGCATTAATTACCCTGCTCGCCAGTGGTGCATATTATTTCAAATACGCTAGAGTTGTAAAACAAGACGCATTCAATATAAATAGCATATAACGATAGATGAGATGAATACAAATAACGGTGATGATAGTGTTGGGTGAATGTAATACGGAATATAACGAGACTTGGTTATTCACAGGGTACTCTGTGTGTGCTGTCAACCGTACGAGGCCTCTCTACGAATTGCATGCTCAACATAAATAAGGTTTATGTGAAATTTTGGCGGGCTAATACTTTCGGTTACTTTTTTTGCAGTGAGAACCTGAGCTGTAACACAGAAATACAAATGTTCTCAAGTGGCAAAGTACCTGTGCATAAAATAGGCAATAAATAACACGTTATCGTTTAGATAATGATGTATATATTAAATCAATCCGAATAACTGTTCACTTGCTGCTGCATGCTTTATATACGTATGTCACCATCATGGAATAATAAAACATCAGATGAATCTTTTCGTTGCTTCAATTACAACATGACTCGCTCCAATCAGGACTTGTCTTCATTTACTCTACCCTTTGGTCAATTCAATCTTATTCGACCATTACTTGCCTGCATCCAGTTAGAATTCAGGAGTAAAGAGTATGGAATTGTCATTTTATGAGTACTTGTACACATGTCAAAGTAGAACTGGGATATGGAAAGATAATAATAAATGATGGCGTATGTACGAGATAAACAATGGCAGAATATAGAGACCGTTGTGATGGCCACATAGACAATGAGTGATTATACAACATGTATAATACGATTTATATGATCGATATGCTTATGCTTATTGTTGTTGTTATGATAATGATGTTATTATTGTGGTTGTTAACACTTTATTAACTGTTAATATTATTATGGTTATCTCAAGACTCATTGTTGTTGTTATTGTTGTTGTTGTGTGTTGTTGTTGCGTTGTGTTGATGTTTTGATATTATTATTATTATTATTATTATTATTATTATTTGGGGTTATTAATATTAATACTTATCGAGAACTATTATTGTCATCTCCATTGTATTATAATTTACCCTTTCCCCCAACGCAGGCAATGGAACATTGACAACAGAATCGGGTATCAGGGAGTTACATGCTCTAGAAAGTTTCAATATAAATAATGAATAATCAATGTTACAATATATTATATAATTATATACAAGTTAATGCTACGCCCCACAAAATCATACCATGTTTGCAATATAGTCATCATACTCATGGTGACGGTTTGTTTATGGTAACAATCGTCTGCTCCAATCATCTTAGAGATCCTCATTAATAAGAATATGTCTCCTCTCTCCCAGCACTTCTCAAACCCCTTTTCAACTCTTTGCCTCTTGTTCCGACAAATATAAAAAAACCAAAAAAATATTAAAAATAAAAAAAATATACATTTCACGTCAAAACACTGTTGTCAATAATAAAAAATAAAAAAAAAAGTCATTGCGACAGTATCTAAGGGAAAAAAATTGCGTTGCATATAAAAAATTTTCATTTCTAGACATCTAATAGCTGTTACGATCCAACCTGCTCTTCACTAGCACACTACCCGAACTTCTCTCGCTCTTTTCTCTTACATAGAACCTACACACGTATTCAAATCCCACTAGATACATACCCTACTAGAACCAAGATGTCAACTGCCGTACAATCCACTACTCAGAGCTCCCCTGCTGTTCAACAAACTCCCGTGACCGGGCCTCAGTTATCAGTCGAGCAACAACAACAGCAAATTGCTGCTGCTCAGGCTCAAGCCGCTGCCGCTCAGGCCCAGTTTGGAACTCCTCCGGCTCCCCAAGCTTCAGCTTCGCTTTATGTTGGTGAGCTGGATCCTTCAGTCACTGAGGCTATGTTGTTCGAAATGTTCAATATGATCGGTCCAGTGGCTAGTATTAGGGTTTGCAGAGATGCCGTTACTAGAAGATCGCTTGGATATGCTTATGTGAATTTCCATAATGCTGTCGATGGTAAGTAATACGCATATTGATACGGTAGATCGGCGGATTGACTATAGAAAATATTAGACGATATCGTTTAGAATGCAATATATTGATTATGCTGGTAACAGCGTTCGAGATAAACACAGTATTATAAGATAAAAATGAGCGTGATCTGTTTCTGCCGCAGATCTGTTCTATCTTCAATCAGAATGTTCAATAGCCGATTAGAAGAACGACGTGAAAAGTCTAGTCCCGCGACGTGTCTGCTAACAACATTCTTATTCGAACACAATCATTTAATCCATCCAACCAAGACTTTTGTAACTTACTTATCTCTTTTATTCTCCATCTCTTAAAAACTCAAAGGCGAAAGGGCTCTCGAAACCCTTAATTATACTTTAATCAAAAACAAACCATGCCGTATCATGTGGTCTCAGCGTGACCCTGCGCTGCGCAAGACAGGAACCGGAAACATTTTCATCAAGAACCTCGACAGGTCAATTGACAACAAGGCTCTGCACGATACCTTTTCTGCATTTGGAACTATCCTGAGCTGCAAGGTTGCCATGGAAGATGGTGTTTCAAAGGGATATGGCTTTGTGCATTACGAAACTGCTGAGGCTGCTGAGACTGCTATCAAGCATGTTAATGGCATGTTGTTGTACGATAAGATAGTGTATGCATATATTCATCTTTATTCGTGTCGGTCCAGCTAGCAACGCATATATTCACGCGAATATCTATTTCCCCCCGGCCATTTCGTTTTTTTTTTACATTACTTCTAACCCATTTTTATTTTGTCTTCACCAACTTCATCATTCAGTTACGTTGGCCACCACATTCCTAAGAAAGAACGCCAATCCAAACTAGAAGAAATCAAGGCCAAATTCACCAATGTTTACGTAAAAAATCTCAGCCCCGAAGTGACTGTTGAAGAACTTGAAGAGCTCTTCAAGGCATATGGTGCAATCACTTCTGCTGTAATCCAAACTGATGAACAGGGAAACTCTAAAGGCTTTGGTTTCGTAAACTTTGAAAACCATGAACAAGCAGCCGAGGCGGTGACCGCTCTCCATGATTCTGATTACAAAGGCAAAAAGCTTTTCGTCTCACGTGCTCAGAAAAAACATGAACGCGAAGAAGAATTGCGCAGACAGTACGAGCAGGCAAAGATGGAAAAACTTAACAAATACCAGGGTGTTAATTTGTATATCAAGAATCTAGAGGATGATATCGATGACGAAAAATTGAGACAAGAATTCTCAGTATATGGGTTGATTACTAGTGCTAAGGTTATGAAAGATGAAAAGGGCACGTCAAAGGGTTTCGGATTTGTGTGCTTTTCGTCCCCCGATGAGGCTACTAAGGCTGTAACTGACATGAATGGACGTATGATTGGTACCAAGCCCATTTATGTTGCCCTTGCACAGCGTAAAGATGTTAGGAAATCTCATCTGGAAGCTCAAATTAATCAGCGGAACCAAATTCGCATGCAACAGGTATGACGACAAAAAACCTTTGAAATAAAATTTGACTGTGATAACAAAATTTTGGATAGTCATATATCTTTCGCTTACTTTCTTCATACTTACTTTTCATTTCCTCTGTAGGCCGCTGCTGGAATGACCGGCGGTCCCGGTTACTTCGCACCAAACATGTTCGCTCCTGCCTTGTATGCTCCACAAAATCAACGCGGTGGTGTTGTCTTCCCACCGCAACCAGGCATGGTCCCTCCGCCAGCTCCACGACCCCGCTGGTTCGCCGCTCAGCCACAAAACTCGTATGTTCCACAATCAATGGGTATCCAGAACAATTCTTCCGGTCGCGGTCGTAATCAAACTCGCTCAGGTGCTCCGCCGCGTGGTGGACCCAACAATCAGGGTCGCCCTCAAGGGACCACCACGAGCCAACCGAATTCTACCGGACCAAATTCACGTTTAACGACCGGCCGTGCGAATTTCAAGTTTAATTCTCAAGCGAGAAATAATGGGCAAGCTAACCAACAGGGTGGCTCATCTGGGACTACTGTTCCACCGGCTATGAGTGCTGCAGCACTCGCTTCAGCGCCGCCGGAACAGCAGAAGCAGATGCTTGGTGAACAGTTGTTCCCGAAGATCACTGCTAGACAGCCTGAATTGGCCGGAAAGATTACGGGAATGTTGCTGGAAATGGATAATGGCGAACTGTTGCATTTGTTAGAAAGTCCCGAGGCACTCGAGGCAAAGGTATGATTTCGGATTTTAGCGTCTTATTTTGGACTCTTGGGCTGTTGGCTCGGATGCTGTTATTAACGGTCGTCATTATAATTATAGGTTGATGAAGCTGTAACTGTCCTTCGACAACATGCGATGACTAGTGGCGGTGACGAGAGTAGCGGAAATTAGATATGATTTGTACACACTGCAACAGACGAAAGTCTTTGGAATTTCCGCCTGATCAAGCATTCTAGGTTAGCTTCGAACAGATAATACTCGATGTTGCGTATATTAATTAATACTAAATTGAAGACCCTTTAATTTTAATTACCGCAATTATTCTGGAAATGCATCCTATCGATTAAATTATTTAGTCTATTTGGCTCCTGTTTCCTATTATCATTACCATTGCCGTGAATATATTGTTTGGAGTCTTGTTCTCATGCGTTTTTGATCGTGCCATAGTCTCTCATTAACGGAAGTTTGAGTTAACAGAGCTATCTTGTGATATCAATCTCAGTAAGAAGGACGGAGTATTTATAGCCCATGATTGCTGTAGTCAGTTTATTTCTCACTTATATTATGCCATTAATATTAATGCTTGCTATTTGCCAAGAAGAAATAGTTTCAAATCCTAATGTCACAAGTCGTTAGCAAAGGCAAGCGCTCTCTTAAATTTTTATTCAAACTAACCAAAGATCATCCGGTTAACTTATTGTATGATATATCCGTAGTAAATGAACAATGAAATTAGTTATGCTGATAGAAGCGTTCTTGATGAGAATCGTTTGGTATAATGATTGAAGAAGCATCTCTGTCGTTTAAATTATGTACATGGAATCATATATTATACAGACTTCAAATGTCTAAACACAAAAAACCCTTTAGGAATCACTTCTATCAAGCCATTATTGACAGACTTCAAACTAATTAGGATAATTAAATGCGTTTGTAACTGTTTGACTGCAAAATTCAACTGCGAGACTACGGACACGCCCAGGCATAACTTCTTCGAGCGATTGATGCAAAGAACAAACCAGCATTAAACTTATGAGCAAAGTAAAATAAACATTTGACAAAAGAATAGAGCGGAGTTTGTTAGATGAACCGATTCTTAATGAAAAACCAGGCAAGGAAAGACTAGATTTATTAGAGGCTGACCTATTATGATGTCTTCACAAATGGAAGTTTTCATGGTCCTTGTCGTTATTAGTATTTAGTTTCGATTGTCGTGGGCAAAGCTGGGGACGCGTCAATGTAAAGAAGAGAATTGATCATGTCACTTCATGGCCCGCGCGTTGAGTGAAAGTGTATAGCAATCACGTACTTTGATTTTCGGAGAATTTGTTGTGCGTGTGACCTTAATATGTGTAACGTGACTGTAAGCCACACAGCCACGTGCAAGATCTTTAATCATCGAGAGCATGTGTATATCGTAATAATAATAATAATACACTATACCAATCAATGTAATAATAATACTGTATTTATTAAAATTTTAAACATGGTATGTATAAAAGAATCATCTTAACCAGAAGGCTAACTTTGAAGGCTTTCCACCAAGATGGATATGATCGATTGTTTTTGTATAATTGCCAAGGGTGTTCAACATGTCTGGGATCAGGCGTCCTGTTATTAAATGATCGAGACGAGGTCTGTTATAATTATATTTGTAATTGTGTTTAATGTGATTCAACTATAATTGTCGTTCTTGCTATAAGCATGGCTCTTGGATAGGATGATCGAGCGAAAAGCTTCCAATTTTTCTTACTATACCAGTTCATCCATAGATACGCCCATAAGTGAACAAGATTTCTCTGTCGACAATATTGAGACCTCAGACGTGCGGCGGTTATATATTTCGTCGGATGTAAGAAATACATTTATATCTACTGGTATTAGCGGATGAAGTTTTTTTATCAAGTCCATAACTGCCATTGCATCTGCTTAGACGGATGCTCACTACTTTCAACATCATATTTCTTTTCGGTCTCTACGAGGAGCAGTTCCGGATCCAATATTTGTCCATCGTATTCGACAGAAAAACTCTTTGCCTGAAGCATCAAAATAAGGAAACTTAATTTAACAACGCTTCGTCTTCCTGTAGGAATCCAGTTCGGATCAATAAAGGTGATTTGTTCATTTGCCTCCCTTGCACGCGGAATTGAGATTTGTGATTTTTTTCGTTTATTTTACGATCAATAGCACGTTCAATATGCCAGATATCTAAAGAAGAACATCCGGATAAGTGACGCTGCTACGCAACTTGGGAAGGATGGTTTATATCAAATGAGAAGTTTGAAGATATGAAGAAGATAATGCTTACACATAGAAAACTATCTAGAGACATAATTGAATGTTTGCTGTAAGAACCATAACGCGATTATTAATGTTATATATAGGATTTTGCGGCATTCCGAATCCTCCACAATTAATTATTAAGGCAAACTCCTGTCTTTCGCTCTGTTCTTTGCATAAGCGTATTTCAATCATCGTTTCCCTATTGTTCATTCACAAAACCAACCTCATCGTGCAATTTTTGAATTGGGAATCAATAATAAGTTCGTTAATGTTGTCCTTTGAAATGCCGTTTATGAAAGGCGTGGTAAATCCAAGTGCTCGAACAAAATCATTTTCAATATGAAGGATTAGTTTATAACCCACATTGATTAGTTCAGGTCGCTGCATATAATCTTTATATTTGTTATATATTGTCCCAGCAAGAAAGTTGAGTGCGTGCCCAATAGTACACTTGATGATAAGTGTGTTTGTTAGATCTATCAGCTTCTCAGAAAGCTTTTATGAAATTCTGCCTTGCGCAGATTATGGTTTAGATTTGTTTTGATCCAATTTATTGTTACTTGAGTTTAGTTTCGCGGTAAGTTGGTTGTTGATGGTATAAGTGATTGAACGTAAGATTGGCTTGTCTCAAAGGTTTATTTTGATTTTTCCATTACAAGGAAATCGTTCAATGGCTGGTCATACTTCACTGATTCGTTGTACGGGTTGATCACAAGGGCGCTTATGTTGTCGTTCGATTCTTTGGGAACAGAATAGGCACATCCGTAAGGTTGGTCGGCCTTTGTGTTTATATAAAGTTTGTTCAGTTCCCAATAGTATTTTGATCCAGCTTCAATTCCATGTAGTGGCATCTCAACAAGTTCATCACTGCTTATCTGATATATGTACTAAATGTTCAGATATCCTCGATAATGGGAGTCGCTGCCTCATTTTTCGCAAACGGCGAACATTTGATACATGATTTGTCTGAAAATCCTACGACGGGTGCAACATAGGGCACCACCACCGTTTTCGCCAATCTCGCTAGCGCTTTTCGCGGAATGTCCAAGACTCTGGCATTTTAGCATGCCATACTATTGAATCTGTGCTGCTCCGCGAAAATTGAACATGGCTATGCTCTTCTCCTTCAAGACCACATAATTCATAGATAAGTTCTTCATTTTCTCTGTCACTTTCTATCAACTGATTCAAGTCATCGTCACTTGCCGGCGGTTGTATTTTCAATAGTAGGGCCTTTATTGTTCTTTCTGTGCAGAGCAACGATTGCATGGGCCAGTTTTTGTGCCGCGAGTTCTCATAAATACAACGCGTGTTTCAGGAAAATCCATGACCTTTCATTGGTTGATCAGATTTTATTCTCTAACCCCATCAGCTAGCGTAAATATAAATATACCCCGTGCGCGGAAATTTTGAACGCCCGGCATATATACTTCCTGTGACTTGTACCTTGCAAAATTTAACACTATAAGATGCACAAACTTTATTTGATAAAAGCGACAGAAATCCCCAATACGGCTTCGGCTTTTATATTTTAATCAAAGTCCATATTTAGCAAATTATTCAGCATCCAGTCATAATAATTATAATCGCGCATTAGCATGCCCTTTTTCTTGTGTAATTAAACTCGCCCACTTACAGACACATAATTTTCGGCACCACTAATACTAAGTTACTATTCAGAATCACAGAACAAAAGAGCAGACTAACCACCCTGTTTCAATACTAACTGATTTATTTTGTTTACAATGAACCCTCAAGCATCAACCAGTACCCCTATGGACAACAACAACTCAGACCCCACTCAAACTATGTCAAATTCCAAAGGGTGTTTGAAATCTTTAACTGGAAAATACCCAAAGCAATCTTGAAACAGAACACCAGAATTTCCCCAGCTGTGGAACTGGTCTCTGCATTCCTAGACCTTCTACTTCAAAGAATGCCTTCTACTCTGGCTGGGAGGGAAGTAGCCAAAGTCATCAGAACCAAATTCATCCAACTCCTCTTTGAGAAAGAAAGTGAGGCTGCTTCATTAAACAAGGGACCCTTGTTGTTGGGAACTGCCATGTCCCCATACCCATTCTGAATTCAACAAGGCAGAAGTTAGAGTCTTATGAATATCAGGGACCTACATCCCTGCAGGACTTAGACCCACCAACTGGAGCCCCAATCATCCAAACAACCTTACAAGAATTCCTTTCATCAAAAGTTTAACTTGTAAAAATCAGTTAAATGATTCTGCAAAAATGTCCCAGTCAAGTGAGATCCCAATTTATACCTCTTTGTCCAACGAAACATGAGTGGGATAATCCCCACCTTTAACAAAACAGCCCCTTTATAGAGACCCAATACTACCTTTTTATTAATCATGAGAATTATAACATTGAATTCTCAAGGTCTATATGAGAATGTTTACAAACTCTTGTAAGTATTCTGAAACATGTAGCATTTGACTAGCACAACAATATTTATATAATTACATTTAGAGCTTTATCATCAATCATGGTTTACACTACTAATTAGTAAGCGCAAGACAAGTCTTGAGAGAGATATTCGCACACACTGCTATCTAGATATCAGAAAAGCTTGCAATATAGTAAATAAATCACAAAGTAAAAATTGATCCGGCTCGTGTGATAATTGTATTAAACTGATGTCGTCGGATGCGGGGTGTAATTTGCTGCCTGTTTCACTTTTTCTAACCAAATCATAATTTTGGTTAGAGTTTTAGGGTATTAAAGCTTTACTAATAACAGCATCAACTTCCGGGTCAATCAAAAAGAGGGTATATTGCACCAAAAATTGGTGAAAGCGATAAAACATTGCCGGGAGTTCTGAGCCATTTATTGATGAAAGTATTATTTAAAACGAGTATACTGTAACATGTGCAAGATCCCAATCGGTGGCTTGCAATGTCTAAGAGAGAGGGCTGGGAGTAGAGTAGTGTTGGTTATCAACCGCCATATAATTATTACGTATATCGATGCAATTGTTAATATTTCAGTCTAAATGTTCAGAAATTAGATTTAGACGTTATTTATTCAATTCACTCTGCATAGTCTATAATTGAAATGCATAAATTACATTGTTTCTACTAATCACCACTCCCTCCGTATTTTTCTAAATGCGCCATACATATATAATACATTGATCAACGCAACGATTCCCAACCAGAATCCACAAAGTTTAAGATTTGAACTAAAACCCAGTACGTCGCAATGTCGCGCTCATAGTGCTCTGTAAAACATTGGTAGCAGTATTGGCAATATTTGCACCTAAATCACGCGCAACGGCACCAGCGCTACTTTTTGTAATCGAAGCCATTGCTCCCACGCGCTTTTTGACTTTATTATTTGATTCGTTCGCAGCAGTAATAATTTCGTTCAAGTTCGTTTCCAAGACCTAAATTGGAAACAAACAATTATTAGAAGAGCGAAAGACAAAAGACCCTATGTTATTTTCAAAAGCTTTTTGTACTTGCCATCCCACCGGACACCACTTCGGCGAGTATGTGATGCACCTATGAATAGTCAAATGTCAAATCGAATTACTGTATCAAACAAGTGATTGGCCGTAAATAACTTACTTCTTCAAAATGAAAGATCTAGAAAGATTCGGAGACAAAACTTTATTTAGCCATCTTACGATTTATCAACGGGTACAATATGGGAATGTGACATGACTCACCAGATCAAGCTCGCAAACGTTCTCAAAACACCTGTCAAGACCCTCTACGAAAACCTAAATACACGCACATCATTTGTAATGGATCCTTTTGCACATCACATAAATTCTGCCTTCTTCCTCTTTTCCACTCACTTGTATCAAATCGAGAATTCCTAATTCACTCTCAGATTCGTCAACAACAAACACAAAATATAAAGTCGCATAGTGTCGGTAAATGACTCGAGTGTCGCTGCCACCAAGCATTTGACTTCCTTCTAGAAAATTACAGACAGAATCTGGGCGTTTGGAAACGAGTTGAAATATCTCTTGAATTAGGTTTTGCTGGGTTGGAATGTCCTAAAAGTATATCAGAGTCAACCTGAGCTCACCCATAGCCTGAGTTATGATAGTATAAGCCACTTACTATTTGTTGATAGAACTTGATCAAGCGTGATCTGCCATGGTTGTTGAATATTAGCACGGATTTAATCATCCTTTGGTGTTGTAAGGTTGAGAAGAATTTACTAGCGACACAATTTTCAGCGGCGTCATGTGAAACAGTTTGTGTAATGATGTATTGTTAAATCATAATGTATTATTTGTTCTCTAATAAGACATGTTATAAAATCATGGCGATTAATAAGCAGGGCATGAAAAGTATTCAGTTATTATATTATTCTCTGAACTGACACTTTGCATGTAAGTTCTTCGCGATTAATAAGACCAGTAACAGAGTATGCTTTGTTGTAACATTTTGGCGACTAATAAGGGAAGCGATTATATTTAACACAGGAAAGGCGTTCGTAATAATAAAGACAATGTATATTACCGAGAGTTTAATATATTCGTTAGAAGGCTAATACTCGTAATATACAACAAAAAGTTATTGTGAATCCATCGTTATTGGTTATTGTGAATTTATCGTTATTATGTTCAAGTTAAATTGTTATTCGTCAATGAAGGGAACCTATGCCAAAACGTTAAGAGCCATAGAGTGTGATAGAGACACGAAGCGAAATGCGGATACTCTTGATGAAAATCCAATCGGAGCATTACAGTGTGGAAAGAGAAATATTAATGCTGAGGTTGAAACTAACCTTCATTAACGAGATAATATCTACGATATAATATATAATGGGTATTAGATATTTTATATATGAGCGGCATTTCTTCGTCCGCTACGTTTTACTAGGAACATCTGTTGAACCTGACCTTCGGTGATATATTATCTGTATGATGAAACAGCGATATTATTAATTCCCTAAAATATATATTAACGAAATTAATAGGCCATTAAGAGTAGCGATTAGATCTGAAGTGTTGTAATTTTTATTTGATTGTTATGTATTTTATAATTATTACGGATAGTATAGAATGGCCGATGGAGAGTATACAGTGTGTTGCGAAAAAAATGGCGCGCAAATAAACTTGTATATCTCAACAATTACCAACGGAGACAAACATACAGTAGAGTGACATTCATCAGTATGATTTTTTGTTTTGCAATTCTAATTCTACATGAAATCCCAATTTTATTGGGGACTCTGTTCTTTAATATAGTCCATTGACAAGTAATGGTTTAGGTTGAGGAACAAAATGATAATATAATTCTATAGATTAGCAATGTTTTTCACTATCATCCTATAGTAACTAACAAACTCTTCCTATAATATTAATATTTGTTTCTTATGCTTACTTGGAGTGAAGTTTGTTTTCCTTGTAAAACCTACTTTAAAATGCTTGGCTTGTGCCCTGTGGACATGAAAAATTTTCTGATATAAGTGGCCCTGCTCTGTTGGATTAGGTAGTGCTTTGGCATTTCTATTAATATTTTCCTGGATAGAGAAAAGGATACATCAATTAACTAAAACTCACACACAAGTCATACATGTGACCTTACTTTGAAGAAAAATAATGCTTCCAGTGTATTTCGGAGGTCCTTTATACTTGACAGTTGTGCAGGAAATCTGAATTTGGGACCCTCAAGACCAAAGTATAAACCATCATCTAGACAATCAATTCCTATGATTTGTCCTTCAAGACCTGATGTGATGATAATCCACATAATTAACATTTTAACATTTGCTGACAATCCAACTCTTGAAATCTTACCAGCAAATTGGAGCCCCATGATTGTAGAATCATTTGCAGCATCATCTGAAATGTCTTCTGCCAGATACATGTCAAGCACACATTTTAGTGTCCGTAAACACTTAGAGCGGTCTCCAATAGCTTTTGCAGGTGTAAGAAGCCTTGCACATTCTGTGTGACTGAGTTCAATATGTCGAGTCCTGTGGACAATCCTCATATCAATCTTTCTTGGTTGAACGGCAGCACGGGTAACTGTCTCACCCCTATAAACATGAAAATTAAAATTAAATATTATGTGTGACATCAAGATCAGTGATATCTTACTATTACCATCGAAGCTCTACAAGATCTGAAATGTCAGCAAAAAGTTCATCAAAAACAGGTGCTATCATTTTGATGACAAATTCCATCTCAGTGAGATCCTTACGTCTTCCAGATTCATTCACAAAAATGAATGGGTTTCTCATGAATTTACAAATTCTAACAAAATGTTCATCAGAGCAGTTATCAAGGATATACTGACAAATACCAAAACTAGACAACATACACAATGAAGTAAATATTTGCAATCTGTTTAACAATTGGTGAATGATTGCTGGTCTGCAATTCATACAGATAAGTTCGTGCATCAATATATCGGAATGTGTTGCACATCTACAAATATGACAGTTATTAAAAGGAAAAGTGACTTGCACAGACTCTCAAGATTATACACATACATCTTCAACTGTGTCAATAATACTCTTTACATCACCTTCAAAACATAATGGTGTCATATTTATCATTCCATACACCTTTTCCTTGATATCTACCCAGTCTTGACCAAACCACTTGTACATTCCACCTTCAAATTCAGATGATAGATCGACAATTGATGAAAGACCTAAACTGTGTCAAAAATAAGCAACCATTCATGCTCTTCATTTATATAGTAATAGTAAGACATCATATACCGAGCAGCACTCATGAGAGCAGGTGTTCTTTCTTTCTGGCTTTTTTGCATGAGCTGTCTTACCAACTCAGTGGTATTGGTCACAAGCACATCAACGAGTAGACGGCCGTCTTTGAGAGTCCAGCTTGGGTTACGTATTTCATTTACTGCATCATCAAATGATATGGTATTAACATCAATGTGCGTATTTCCATCTTCATCATCACTTCCAGCTTGATATTCTTCTGAATGGATGCTTTCGTCCTCCTCACTGTCAACAGCATCAATCAGGTTGGAGGGAGGAGTCTGTGGCAGTTCAATTGTATCTGTTTGCAATGACCTTTCACGTGCGGAGGGAATATACATGAGACAAAGATTGTTGGCAAGTAAAGAATAGTATAACCTATACAGCTCATCATACGTGTTGGTGATATCTGCTATCTTGTCCTGAGTATCAGAATCTTCCAACTGATCAACGGTTTTGGGTTTCTTAGAAGGTCTCCACTGTTTCAACGAATCATCTACTATTTCACCGCTGACTTCCGTTGCTTTTCTTGTAATTTTGTCCTATACAGTATACAAATTCACGTGTTCAAATGTTGTCGATGTAGAGGATTTGTTTACCTTCAAAGCTTACCCGGATAGATTCAATGTTTTGTTCTATTTGCTTGCATTCAATAACATTCTCTACTAATAAGAGGAAATCGCTTTTCCGACTTGTCTACATAGAAGTGGGAAATAAGGACGCGTGCTTTTTCAACACAGGCTGTCTACATACGTACATTGGCTTCCTTGTATAGGTCGGCGCAATATTTTTTCACTTCATCTCCTACTCTTTCATTTTGTTGAATGGCAAGCAATGAACCACAGTATCGCCCATGTATAGCACGAGCGGTGGTGTAGTGTCCAGTAACAAACTTTGTTTGAATAAAAGTCTTATAGTCACCCCAAACTTTCAGTTTATTATCTTTGAAAAATCTATCAACTTTCTCCACTTGGTAAGGAACTTGATAGTTAAGCCTGTTATCAATCTCCATAGTAATGAGAAACACGAGGGCTTAGGCTCGCGCCGTCTCAGTTACATATTGTTATCACATGATCAACAAACATTATTGCGCGCAATAAAAATTTTCGCGCCATCAACAGATTTTCTTTGTTTTAATGTCCACCTCGCCGCTGACAGCAGGAGAGGCACATGTTATCTTTGCAAGTTTGCCCGACCTCTGACTAAACCCTTTGGAACCGTGAACTGCCCAAGCTTCGAAGCTTTGGAGATACAGTGTCTTCGGCATTTCCCCTACGCCTGTCTCTTCGTCGCAGGTTTATGGTTCGTCCGGGTGGGTGCTTCTTGCTGTCAGCATGAACACAGGGCCACATGTCCTCTTTGCGTATTGCCCGACCTTTGACTAAACCCTTTGGAACCGTTATACGCCTTGTCTATCTTGTGAGGCATGTGTCTAGGCACTTCCCCTACGCCTGTCTCTTCGTCACAGGTTTATGGTTCGTCCGGGTGGGTGTTCTGTGCTCAGTAGGCGTGGACCAATAAAAGGTATGTAAAGACATTATCACTGACAGATTTTACCTAAATATCTAACTATACTTTGCATATATCAGTAGACTACCATTGGCATTTTCTTTTAGTGATTTGAGTTTAACTTTTGTATTAGCAGCTCCATGAGTAAAGATGAAGTGTGATGAATCAATAAAGAGTTCTGTGTTTAATTTGTAACTTGGCATGTATGTTTTATGTTTTATGTTTTAATGTTATATTTGTATCAAATAAGTTTCTTTACTTAAAGCCAGTACCATAGTTATAATTGGTAATAGTAAACCAACATGTAGACAAAATTTGCAACATAAATAAAACGCATGTTCAAGACTGTTATTAAATGATAAAATTATATATATAAGATTATCTGTATATGAAGAATAATGAATATAATATATTAATATAGGGCTGCACTGAATATGACATGTTTCTTGGAGATAGGCCACATTTGTGGTTACTCAAAATGAGAAAAGTTTGCTGAGTTGTGTGAAGCTTTTCAAGCTCTTTCTAGGTCTGAACAAGATATATTTTTAATGCCCAGCTGAAAACAATGAATGGTGGAGGGATAACTGCCAGTCTACATCTTAAAAAGAAAATGTGTACTAAGAAGAGAACCTTTTACTATTGGAATTGCATTATGCATTTTGCCAAAATTTATCTCAAGATGTCAGGAATTGTCAAATTCACATCATCTGGCATAATACCATGTATTCATGGTAATGTAAATAACTGTTGCTACCATGAAGAATTTTCTCGAGAATTATGCTGGAATTCATGGATTACCAGTCCCGGTAGAAATTACTCAATCGCTTACATTTTTGCCAGCCAAAACAAGTTACAAATCGGTCTATTGTGATTTTATTGCAGGTCTAGAAAACGATAGCACGTTGAAATTGTTAAAGTATGATGCATTCCGCAAGTTATGGCACCAATTGACGTCTTATATTCAAATCATGAGTCCAAGAACAGATTTATGTGACATGTGCCAACGTTTTTGAAACGGCTTACAGTATAATGCTCATAAGGAAGAAGAAGCAAAAGATTTACAAAGAACATCTTGTGAAGGTTAAATTAGAAAGAAACTATTACAACAAAGATACAAAATTAGCAGAACAATAGAGAAAATTAATTTATAACGAGGTAAAGCTGATTATTGTAGCGTTGATGCTACTGCCCATTACAATTACAATTGAGCGCAAAATCACATACCCCATTCGGTAAGTAAAATTTATTAGCATAAAGTGCATTTATTTGGTATACAAGATGAAGCAGTATGTGAACAAATTAATTACTTCTCGATGAGAACGAAATAATAGGCAAAGGTCCTAATGGAAAGAAATACTATTAAAATAATTATATACTCAATAAAAATAATATAATAATATGTATTTAAAAAAATAAGTAAACTAGACAAAAAATCATTAGACATATTAGGGGAACTTCAAGAAAATAATATGCTGTTAGAAGAAAACTTTAAGTTAAGAATCTGACAATGCTGTTAAAGAATATTATATAGTAATAGGGTTGAATGGTAACTTAAGGGATAAATTACATGCAGAGATAGTAATAGTAATAGCAGAAAAATCGTTGGAAATTGAGACTGCTAATGAAATTTTTGAAAAATGGGATGAAAAAAAATCAGCAGATTGGGATGAAAAAGCAGAAGAATTGAAAAAAAACTAATTATAATGAGGGATTCAAGAAGTTGAAAGCAGACTATAAAAAATTAGAAGATTTACTAACACTTATTTGGAAAACCTTTACCTAACTTACATAAAAAACAACATAAGTTCCAAGAATTAGCAACTAAGGTCCAAAACCTAAGAAGAAAGGTGAAACACCATAATAATAAGCAATAAATGGTTGCTAAAATAGAAGTTAAGAGTAAATAATTTTTTAGTGCTTTGAAAGAGTTAAGATATACACTTTTAGATTTGCTGTGAGAGTATAGGAGGGCTTGTGATTTTTGCTCTAATTATAGTAATAATGAAAATAATAGATGTGTTAATCTAATAAAAACTCGTCATGAGACAACCAATAAGTTAATTGCAGACGTAATTGTAAAGAAAAATTTGAGAATGATAAATTAACTAAGCATGAAAAATGCAGACCAAAACTGACTTGGATTTGTTTGTGACTGCAGGGAAAAGGCAAAATAAAAAGAGAAAGGACTTCCTAATTTACCACTTTTTATGAGCGACAATAATTAGAAATTGAAAGAGAAGAAGTAGCCAAATTTCAAGAGAAATTAGAAGAATCAAGCAAAAGGTAGAAGCAAGAGCTATTACTATTGGATAGGATAAAGAGTTTAGAAGAAAAATTAAGCAATTAGAAGAGGAAAACAAATTATTGAAAGAGCAACAGGATGGTCAAGTTGCTCAAATTGAAATTAAAGAAACTGAAAAATGACCTTGATTGAAGTTAAGGAAATAATTTAGAGATTGAGGAAATTCTTGGCTACTTTCTACCATATAAATTTATCTATTCTAACTGTCAAAGTTAATTTATTTTAGATAAAGTAAAAAAAGATGCCTGGCTTTTCATATTTATTGATAATAATAATTGCTTATGTTTCTATTTTCTTGGTTCATCGTAAGTTGGGGTTTAATGTTTGTTTATAGCTGATAAATTTCATAAGTAATTTTTTCTTTATCTAGATATTCCTCGAGAATTTTGGTATTATTGATTTTAAAACCGTACGGAGCAATTTTTTCTCCTTGTTCTTTTTTCAGAATGCTTTGATGTATGATGGTGCTGTAATTCTTTGATTCCATAATGGATTTGATATAAATTAACTTCGTATTATATACACATAATCGTATACTAAATATGTTATAATTTTGGCAATGCTTTTCATTTGATGTTTGAGTTCTTCATTTCCTAAAATTGCTTTTGCGCTAACCTTCAAATACCCAGTAGCGTACATAAAAAAATGAAGGTACAAACTTTTGATTCAGGGCGGGGAACTTTAGCTCATTTTTAACAATGAAACAACGATAAACATTCTATCATAACAATTATATTATTTCTGTATTATTATTATTATATTGACAAAGTGAACATTTACTGATGTGGCTGAAAATTTAACCAGTGACTGATGATGGTTTGCTTTAGGATTAGTGGCACAGCTGCAAGTTTAGAGACCATAATAGTTTTTGTGGCAAATATGACTGGAATTTTTAATTAAAACTAGGCCGTATAATATGATATAAGAACGGTCGGATTTAAGATCGATCTACATTAAAATTACGGAAAATTAAAATGTAACTTGTTGAATCAGCCAATCACGCGATCTCCATATACATCATTAGTTCTTGCAGCAACAGTCTCAACCAAAGTGAATACCGATTACAAGCATGGTATTAAAGAAGCTTTACCTGGCTCTTTTTCTAATAAGGTTTTAAAGCTTTACTAGTTCTTTAACAAGGGTGAAGTTTGTTTAGCGCTACCAACTGACAAACGTTTCTATCTCGCTACTTCAGTTTAGCCGTGTTAAGTTCCGTAATAGCCACGGATCTACACACAATAGAAGGCGGGCTAGTCGCCAACGACATTTTGAAAGGTGTGATATCGTTATGTTGGAACATTTGCATGCTATTTTGCGTACCAAGTATCTGATAATCGATCTTGTTTCGTGTGTCCCTACCAACTCATACTCGTATGATCAGATGTGTCAAGTCTAGAATCCAACACTAAAATACTAATAAATGGGGGACAATACTCGGCCCTAGTCCGCAAGGATGGAAAATTCACAATGTATGTAGGAATTAGCGTTTTGATGATTTCCACGTTCGATAAGTCGATTAACCAATTACTCGCATTGTATCTCTTAGTCAGAATGTCCCCCCAGGTTCTTATCTACTGGAAGTATCTTCGCGAAGATATCTGTATCCAAGGGTAGATCTATTATGTATCGTGTATTAGGAATGAGACAATAATACCCTAACATTAAGACCGACATGTTCTGTTCCAATATAGCTAAGAGTGAATGTGGATGCTTCGGGGGTCGAGGCATTTATCACAATATTGGGTGCCGATTGGCCTGATACAGTCAACAAAAACGTTCAACATTCTAACGTCAATGCACCCAAAACTGCGAATGCATTGCCTTATCCACTCGAATTGAAAGCAAGGGCTATGGCGGATTACTTTGTGGTAAGTTTACCATCGAAATGTCCACTCGAAATAACATTTTTACTAATCAAACCCGCCTTGCTCGATTTTCTTATTAAAGCCTCGGGAGAGCTTTAGTATTGCTAGCGTGTTTGCAAACCCACTAATTATCATGATGGGAGTTAGTGTAGTGTTGTTGCTAGTTATGCCAAAGATGATGGAAGGACTCGGTACGAAAATATTGCTTTTATATTGTCAAACTGTATGTTTGGTATATCTTAGACACACTTATAATTGAAATTGATTTCCCTGGCTACAGACCCGGAAGCTCTAAAGGAATTACAGGAAAATCAACCACAAAATTCACTTGAAATGCCGGATATCTCTGGTGCATTGGCTAACTTCATGACGGGAAAGAGTGACGCGAAGACTAAGAAGAACTAAAGAATAGAAGGTTGGCGCTTCCGTGTAAAGTATTACGAGCGAAAAGATCACAATGAACAAGAACGTCTTAATGAATATCTTTAAGTAATTCATAGTTAATCTGGTTGACTCGGCATAGAAATCATGATATATATTTATTATCCTGAACACGACGTCTTGGGATAAATTTACTGAACACAACCGAATCCCACATGCCTATAAAAATGAGAGTACTATTAATAATTGGTTCAACGTATCGAGTTATGCAATCTCCAAGTAGGGCAAAATCATTGCTTGTCATAATAATAAAAGTCGTGAACAATTAAGCGACAATTAAACGTCAATAAAATATATCGAGTTTCTGATCTATGTGAGTCTTCTCAGAGGAAGTTGATCATAAAATGGCTTAGGTTCTATTTCACATAAACGGGATCCCGTTGATAGCTTCTCTTTACTGTCGGCGCCAACCATGAATCTGACCAAAAGGAAACATAGGTATTGATTCGTATTTCCTTATAGTGAAAACAAATGCTGTACAATAAATAGAGCCACTTAAACGCAACGCTATCTTCTTTTCAATCAATAAAGAAACATGCTTTAATGTTAAAGGTCAAGCAGATTAACGAAATCAAAACAATTGACATTTTAGAAAACGAATTTTGTCAAAGTTTAATTGACCACATCTTGGAGAGTTTCTTAATCGTATAATTGCTACGATTCGGTTTATACCATCAAATGCAGTTGTTATATGTATGATGAAATGTCTATTAATGTCTATTAACGTATGAAATCTAATTATTCGGTATGTATTTATAAACACGTTTAGTCAGCTACCGGAAAACTTGTCCCAATAAGTAGCATTAAACGTTCAATTAATTTGAATGCCTTCATATTAAACTAAATTATTTACGTTATGACTATGTATAATATTAGATCAAAGAACCTGCCGGAAAACTTCTTCTCAACACTGTGTCAACTTCATACTCCAACACAGAATGTTCAACCCCTATTATCATGAAGATGAGGCGTAAGTGGATTAGTAGGTCACATCTGGTCGAGTGCAATTCGTTTCAAATACGTAACAAATGACCGAGACAATCCTTACCAACGAAGATCCGGGAGCTGTCAGGTGTGAATGTAATACCAGAAATATGCTGATCGTAATGCTGAGGTGTGATACGAAGAGTCTGTCTTTCGCAGAAAGTACGCGAGTCGACCAAATGTACATATGATACATGCTAGAAACCACATTGCACCCACCGTTAGTAACGAATATAATAATATTATTACATTACCCTCTCATCCAAATCACAATATTACTTGGCCGCTTTTTGCATCATGCTATTAACAAATATTGCTGCCATCATTCCGTAATATAACCATTTTGACACACCAATTACCTGCTCTCCTCTGCTAAAAACGCTCTTGCCTTTTTATGTTACTCACCTCACTGAACATCAAAAGATCAACAGATCCGCTTGGAGAGAACTTCACTGATCGAGCAGCTCCCTTGGTCTGAGAGTCTTGCTTAGTAGGTATTTTACACAGTTTGTCGCTATGTCGTATATCCCAGACGCTAATGTAACCATCTTGATTGGCAACCGCAAATTTTCCCGAGTATTGATTCCACGCGCAAGAAAATCCCGCATCTGAGGTTGCTGTTGAAATAAGTTGATAAAAGAACTACGTTAGTACGCAATATTATTTTGTTCTATGTGCCATTCGACAACATGTATAATGTCACTCGGTATTCAACCAAGTTCGATTGGTGTAGCGAAATTATCTATGTTTTAATATATTACTTTTTTATATACATACCTGTGTAAGTCGCTATTCTGTTGTAATCTCCATTAGCCGATACATCAAATAAAAACACTTGATTCGAATCTCCCACGGCGACCATCTTACGACCATCCGGACTAACGGAGGCTAGTAGTAGCAATGATTCCAGGAGAGAATGGTATTAATTACTAATTGTTTGTAAGGAACACTTACAATTTACATAAGCTTTCAAGTACTTGTGCTTTACCATAGTTAATTGCAGTTGGTAATTTGATAGTAGTGATTTGTTCCATGCCTGGCAATGAATGTACTTTTATGGTCTGATCGTTGTTGCTGATAAGCATCCGTGTACCCGTTGGGTGAGCCGAGATACTAATGGAGTTGTTTATTGAACCGCCAACAGATTTATGGGCACACCTGTAATACAAGACAAATTGTTAGTACTTGGACCGTGTGATAATGAAGAATGAATGTCGTATATAATGGGCCAAAATAAGTCAATAAAACAACAAACAAACAGTTGCTGCATAGTATGGACGAGACAGCTTTTGTAACTGTTATGACTCTTTTAACTGGTGGTTTGCTTATTGCTTAATATTACGAGTTTCAAGTTGTGTTTAATGTCACGAGTCCTACATAGATCTGTATACCCACACTTACCAATCATCGTCTATATGTTTCATCATTACTTGACCCCGCTGGCCGCCGACAGCCAAGTACCCAGAACTACAAATGAATACATTTGGGGAAAGTCAATAATCGAATTTTGGCAGTCAATTAATCGACTATTTGAGCGTGGGAATAATACTTACCCTACAGCTATACAAGTGGGAATAAATGTCAAATCACTCAACAATGGGGAACTCTACCATTGGAGTTTGTCAAAATTAGTCACAAGTATGTGAATTTCTATTACATAAATCTCTTGATTGTACATACCCGCTGTGTTCTAACATTATGTGAAATTACGCTATTACCACATACGTACGTAAACTCGTCTCTAGATCGCGCACAACTAAGAAGATCACGCAACTGCCTACAGGCGGGCAAGTAAGGTGTCAAGTCACAAGATTTCAGTTTATATGCGTATAGTAAATTGTAACGATATGATTACGCACCAGTGTTGTATAGTCACTTGGGCCGAATGCTTACGGCTGCTTGGCTTCACGAATTCGACATCATCTCTGAAATAAAGAAAAGAAGAAAAGAACGTATTCATATGGTATGAATATGTGTTGATACTATATTAATGCACCCCGAGTCAGTTCATACCTAAAAGATGACGATAGAAATGTTCTAGATGGCATTATTTGAATATTGTGATGTTTTCTACTTTCAATCAAATAGTCTATACAGATCACGGTTATATTTGCGTTTTGAAAATAGAACCGGACTCCCCGAAGAGGTGGGCTATATATGTATTATGTTCGGAAGTGATTATTTATATGTATACAATATAAATTACACGTAGGTGATGTCTATGCGACATCATCACGACGTACTATTTCCTTAATTATAAAAGGTCATTTCCTCATGTGTGATCTCTTGTTTTGTAGTGAACTCAGCTCGGCATTGAAAAATGATCATCCAATTACATAAATCGGTGACACGATTGGCATGCATCGTGAATATGATCGAAAGAGACAAAATAAGTAAACATATTAATTATGTAATATTTCCGATACCATTAAAAAGTTGTATAATACTACTCGCCTGCTGTAGCCATATCTGTCGAGTAAGATCGACACTGTGCAGCCGCAATTTTGTACGTTTGCATGTGTGATATGAGAATGCTGCAACTAGGCCAGATAAGCAATTGTGGCTTTGACATTGAAAAGCCATAGTAATAGTCCTTGTTCATGTTTAGCATCCCATCAATGTTATTCCGGCCGAAGTTAGCCATAAAGGAGATAACCTTTGCAGTTCAGGAAACTCGTTATACTGGGATTAGTTGGATGTTCGCATTCTTATATACCGGCGGAAGATAAGGAATCGTCTACGATGTTCATTCATGTCCAAAACAAGTATTATAACAAGCAAATATTATAAAACCAATCCAACTCTCTCTCTCTGAATCCTATTATGCAGACTAATACGTTCATTCCCATCCCGTTTAGGAGAATAAATACTATGAGGTTACGAAAAGCGGTACTGCTTTCGAAGCCCTCTTACAGACGGTTCTTTCGTATAAAAGCTCAGACTCGTCGATGTCGACTTCAGCAGTCATAATGCTTGATTATGGTTCCTCAAAAAAAGAAAAGAAAAGAAAAGAAGGTAGCTTAATCGGAATGTTATTCATCCAATCGAGGAAATCATTTAGATTGATGACGATCAGTCTCGTTTCTATTGATCATACTGTTCTAAAAATTAGGATATAGAGCTAAGTCCACAATTCTATTCTAGGTTGCTAAAAATCGATAAAGGTCATATGATCGAGTACAACGTTAATGAAATGAGGGGTTGATGTAATGTGCAGATCTTTTATGTGCATGACTGTGTGAATTCTGAAAGACACGCGCTTGGTACGCACTCGCTTACCATAACAATAAGTTGTACGAAGGTAAACCGAGGCAAAATTGATAGAGATTTTGTCTGAACGGACCAATTGAGAATGGTACGATGACATGGAAGATAAATGAACAGAGAAGACAATGCAAAAGCCTCTTTCTTTTTTTACGTCATACCAAGCAACCGGTATGTCACATGTTTCACTTTGGCATCTTTTACAAAAAATTATTAAATTTGGTAATGCTATACATAAGTCGGCTAGGATTAGAACAATGTCTAATGTAATCATTCTTGTGACGACTATGCTTCTATCTCAAGACAGTTTTTTTTATTAGAATATAGTCGACAAAATAAAGTTTGAGTCTGATAACAGTAACTTTATTACGGTAATTGAACTGATCGACAGAACCCGAGACTTTTGGTGGAATAATCATATGTTTGTATTAACGAAAATGATCTTGTTTATCCTTATGTATACAAACATGAAATAGGTGCATTAAAAAACACTTATATCATATGGGCGTGCTGCAACAAAACCAAAATGTCAATCATTATGCACAACCTTCAGTATGGGCCAACATGATATCGTAATCACTTATCATGTACAGTTGTCATTTACATTAAAATATAACGAATTGTTAAAAAGTGCCAGATGAACAAAATTACGCGTTAGACGTAAATGATAAAATTAGGCATTAATCTGATTATTAACAATATTACGATGCATTATCTCTTATCAAATATAATCTTGATATTCAATGATAACGGGATTTGCCCCAAAAGGCTGTAGTTTAGGTTAGTTGCATTCTTTCATTAGCTGGTTTCGTATTTACATTTTATAATCTTCTATATGTTAACTGTAAAACTTGTCGCTCTTGAGCTGCGTATTCCGATCAGAACCTATCATCCTAGCGAAAGCGTTGACTTTTTTCTCTTCAATTTCTGCTTCAACCTCCTCTACAGATTGGCCTGCAATTTCATTTGCTTGCGACTGAAAAATCCTGAAACGCCTACCATATTATCTTTGAATGAACAATTGTATGGTTCTGATAGTAATACTGTCGGCTTCGACCTGTTCGTATCCAGCTAAGAAAACGCCATTCAACGCCTGTAGTAACTATTCCATATATCGCATAGTACGCAGGATTGCCGTGATTGCGCCTTCTCTTCTTACTTTTCTGGGTAGTAATACAACCAAATTGTGAGGTGTAATAAAAGCTATAAATATAAATGAGCAATAAACGGATAAAAAAAAAATTAAATAAGACAAAATAAATAAATAAATAAATAAATAAAAATAAAATTTGAATACCTCCGTAGCCGTATGTAATTTTGGGCGATTCCGTTTTGAATACCAATCATTTTTGCCTTGGTAATGACAACAGCCAGCTTGTCACAGAAACCACATAATCGAGCTGGACATAGCCCTTGCTGCCGTCAAATTGTTCCTTAATCACCAGGTGCATTAAAGCATATTTTTCTTGAACTGCTGAGACTGCTGCAACTATAATTGGGTTGATAGGCGGTAGCCTTGTTGTAGCTTACTTTCATGATGAAATGCCCCAGCAATCTTCTTGAGGTTTTCTTTGACTGCTGATTATCAATATCAACTGTATATGACCCAGAAGTACCATCTACAGAATAAAATTCAGAAGAATTATAAAAAACTATAATCATGAAGGTTGATTCATAAAGAGGAAATTCGCAAAGACAAAACCAATGTCAAGTTCAGGTATAGCATTTATAGATTTGTGTTCAGCAAGAGCTTGCAAAGAACATCCTTGATCAACCACTCCCCATATGTTTTCTTGTCTGTTAAATAAATCTGTAATTAATATAAGTTGTTATTTTCGTTCATTCCCTGGTGAGTTTTATTCGATCGCTGGTTAGTGATAAAATCGCTTTCTCGATCAGCAGTTAATAAGTTTGATCCTGCCATTGAACTTATCGGAACTTAGGCATCAGGATTTCTATTTAATTGCATGTTTAACGCGCGTTACTATTTATAAACTTTCCCCGTCGATAGATTTTCGTTAATAATCCCTAGCGAATCATAATCGTTGTTTGACTCGGAGGTTAAATAGAATCCAGAGAAAGCGTATACAGATAGTCGGATTGTAAATCCGTGAGTATTGATAAATCTTATTAAAGTCACTAATTGGATAGAGGTTTAGCGATAGTAGGAACGAGCCTAAGAGTTCCGCCGCGCCGGAAGACGACTAAATCCCAAGGTCATTACACAAATGCTCTCCCAAGTGTGGCGATCTGACACTTTTTACCAACGCCTCCTCCCTTTTCATCGACACTTCCTTCCTTGTCACCGACACTCCTCTCTTTTCCCCAACGCCTCCTTTTTTTTCACTAACACCTCTTCCATTTCCCGCAACTCTTCTTCTGCCTCAAGAAATCTATCCTCTAACGTATTCATTCTACTGAAAACCATCTCATAATCCTTACAACATGATCCAGTCTTTTCAAAAATTTCCCGTTCTTCGCCTTGTTTCTGAACCTCTTCAGCCGAAACAATGTCTGTTAACTTGGCAACGATATTAGTTGAAATCGTCAAGATAATCCGAAATAGAGATGACTCGGCTTGACGAATTACTCCAAGAGTAAACTCTCGAGCAACCACAACTCCAAAATTGCCTTGGGGTCTGGACAGTATTCCCTTTAACTCACGAATAAATTATATTCTATATGTACTAAATATATTGACGTTTAAATTTACCAACTGGTTGATTAATGTCTTTACACTGGATGTCAAATTCTCAAGTCTTTGACTATATGCAATAAGGTCAACACTCCCATAGTCACGATTGCCGCCGCTGAAGAAACAAAGAAAATGATTTAAGACAATGCTGGTAACAGTTTATAATTCTTACGCTTGTCTGATAACTTTAAACCAAAACCCTTCACGTCGAAGAACCCGTGCAATTGTTTGTTTGAAAGCGCTTCCACTCATTTTTTTAGATTATAAACATGAAGCGCAAAGGTTTATTTAAAGTTATTTCCCGGAGATACGTAAACTGATGGGTCACAAAAAGTCAGAAAAGAAAGCTTGTTTATTGTACCGATTAGTGTAGCTATACGCAAATTGTACCATTACTTATATACACAATCTTCATCTTCATTCTGTAACATTATTTTCATACATGCTCTATATTGTGGTAGAACATTTGTTAGAATTGCCAGTCTTCTCGTTGATGATAAGTAAATATGATATCGCTGTGATCCAGTTATTATAATACAATACCATAAAGGAAAGTATTAACCTTCCTCATTATTATGATTTACGGAATGGGATATCTTGTTCCTCAAAAGCATCAAAGCGTCTAAATAATATTATCATAGTTTTATAGATTAATTAGTACAGTATGTATTCATCTTGATGCATAAAATGGTAAAAAGTAACGCTTAACCGATCCGATAAATCGTAGGCATTTACCATGTGAACGAAAAGAGCAAAAGTTGCTTTGCTAACGTATTGTTATCGACCGTAAGCTAATATACTCAGAACGGCATAGATACGTAGTTTACCGCTTGGATAATTAGTTGGTTTGTGTGTAGCTGGACTCGGATAATTAGTTTTTCGGTTAATTGTCATGTTTTCGTAGAGTTTGTTACGTCGATGAATAGTTTTGTATTTAGGCACATATAATAAATGCTCACACTGTCGTGTAGCTGGGTATATTATAAAAAATTCCTGAATTGTTACCCGGTCCAAATTGAGAGGAGGACTATTTAATGGGGATATTCAGTGCTCGGTAGTTGCAAGGCTTCATGAGTAAAGTGTAACATTTTTAATGTCTTAACTCTAGTCATGAAATTAGGACCGAAGTGACTGGAATTACAGTCGACCGGCCAGATAAAACCTGTGACTGTATGGGAGTGTTATTTTATTATTATTAGATAACAAATTAAAAATCAACGATATTAATGTCGGTATCTAACTAGCACTAAAATGAGCATCAATACACAAATTTCACGAGATCGTGTTTTAGATAAAACAATATGAGCTGTATGTTTTCGAAGAATCAGGACCAATCACATAGCAGGATTTTCGGGAATAACCATCACATGGAGATTAAAAACTTTAGAAATTGTCCAATCAGCATCGTCTGATATTTGATTCAGAAAATTTTTCTGACAATGGATGCACCGAAAGACGAGAGTATTTATATTGACGATCAGGGCAATGAGGGCAATGAGGGCAATGAGGGCAATGAGGAGGCTGCAACTGTCGACCATTATCCAGAAAACGGTCAGCAGGATTTGGTCGTAAGTTTGTCAGAGGGAGATAGCAGTGAAACGTCATTTGCGAGGTGAGTAACGGTAGCTGCCCTGATCACATTCGCTCTTGCTATTCTTTAACAAAAGCGTCTCCACTCTAATTCACAAGCGATTCAGACACGGACAATACAAACGAAACAGAAGTCTCTGATTTGTATGCCGAAGCTGTTACGAATGGAGAAATTCTTCGCACACGGAATGAAATTGCTAATATCCCCATAACCAAACCTAATATCGAAGTTAAAGATGATATGCCAATAGATGAGATCGGGAGTGTGTACAATATCGTTGAAAACGCAGTAACTGTGATTGCAAAGGTTTCAGGAGAATATCAAGTGTTGGATTCTGGAAGTATTTTTGTGTTTGAGGATCGACAATTGTTGGGTGAGGTAAGTCTCAAAGAGCGAGTAGATCAATCAGCAGAGGAATGGGGGGAATAGCTTTAATTTATTTTGTTCATTTCGTCTCTTACTAACTAATTTTTTCGTCTAACCGTGTTTTACGTTAGGTATCTGAAACGTTTGGACCTGTAAGTCAGCCAATGTACGTCGTATTGTTTGACATTGCATCTGAAATCGACTTGGAGAGGGTGAAGACGGGTACCAAAATATACAGCGTACGACAGTATGCAAACTATGTCTTTACTAGACCCCTGAGAGAACAAAAAGGTTCGGATGCTAGTAACTTTTTTGATGAGGAGCCTAATGAATCGGTGAGTTTTCGAATGCGTGAATTGACATATATATATATAATTTTATTATTAATGACGTGTTGTGGTTTGTTAGGAAATGGAATTCTCTGACGATGAAAAAGAGGCGGAATATAAATCACAGCTTAAGAAGAGGTATACATAGTGAACCCCGTTAGACCAAAGTGGGTCGGGAACATAGGTGGGAAATGTTAAGAAATTCGGTTTAACGGGGTTCAATTAGTAAATTCGGTTTATCGGGGTAAATTTAATATAGAGGTTTTAGAGGTTTAGCGGGGTTTTACTTAGTCCTTCGGTTTCTGAACCATATCCTTATAATATTTATTCAAAATATGTAACATAGCATCTTTACCATATTTCATATTTAATATCATTAGGTATATGAATACTATGTATATGCGAATATATCGTAGTATCGTCTTAGAATTGTCTTCCAATTGTTTTTAAGGCTTTCTCATGGTCATCCGAACAGAATGGTGGTTAATAATCGAAAATTTGACCAATTTAATCGTTTCCCGTTGGGGTTGGTACACAATCTTAAGTCTTATGTGATGTTACTAATCCAACAGTGATGACATAGCGGATCTGTTGGGTTACGAGTTGTAGTACATGTTTAATCTTTATAAGCGAAATTTGTGAGCGTTCTCATTTAAGCATGTCATTCACTTTATCTAGCAACATCATTTTTGATAGACTATATTAGATCTCTAGTTCAACTCAGGAACTTACATATTGCATCATACATTATTAACTATTTGAATCATTTTGATTTTTTTGTACAAAGCAATAATCCCGGGCGAGGTTCTTCGAAATCAAGAGGCCGTGGTAGACGATCTTCTCAAACAAGGAACGACCGGCCCCCGCTGAAACTAGAAGATGATCCTCAAACGAGGAATGACCCGCCCATGCTGAAAGTTGAAGATGATCCATATGGATATAACATTCTTCGACGACCTCAACAAACTCCTCCAACATCAGTCACGCAAAGTAATGAATTAATGGGTGATATTTCTTTCAAGTAAATGTTTGTTAATGCTGAAACTAACTGATGGCAGCTTACAATGTCGCTCACAGCGTAGGTCCCGCTTCATCAACACACTCTATAAGACCTACATTATCATACGCGGTAGCTCCTTCGGTTGTCCAATCGCCTTGGCCAGCTGTAAATTCACCATCGATAATGACGCATCCGCCGATACAACCGCATGTGACACAACCCCAATCTTGGCAAACTCAAATACATCCGCAGATGCAACATGGATTTCAGTATCAGCAGGCGGCAACAACGAATGTACCCCCTGCTCACGTGGATATTAGAGCCATACCACAGCAACAGCATAGTGTTTGGAATCAGGAAGCTTATGATCAACAAGTTAATAATTTCGGGAACGCGTCTGGGTTCCATCCGCAATAAATAAAAAAGAGTTCAAGCACATTTTGTAATGGCTTATGTTTATCGGTCATGCCTTTGGGGAGTTTTTCTGTTGCAAGACGATTACAGTTTGTATGGACATACAACAGCGTGAACTATTCTAGACGTTAATGTCATGAAAAGAACCAAATCGTACAACGTCGATATGTCCAACTATTCCTTGTCGCTTTTTCCTACTAAATTTTTTTGCATAAATTAATAGTATTTTACCAGTTGCGAATAATCGGCATCTAATGCTTATTGTATAGACTGATTAGAACGGCTCATTCGAAGAGAACCAAAATATGAAACCCATTTTATTAATATCACTGTTGCGAACGTAGCACTTTTCTATATGGTGCATCTTGGTAGTATTGTAACCATCGTGGTCTTAACATTAAAACTTCAATAATAGACTTACCTTTTAATGAGTAGTGTGTAATGGGTTTATTTAGCGATGTACAGATTCATCTCTGGTATGTCAACAATGTGAGAATATTTCTAAACTACGTATGTGACATGCAAAATCGATCACATGTATACTGAGGCGGTCGAGTCTCTTCGTTTCGATCTTTTTATGACGTTTGTCCAATATGTAAGAAATAAAAATATAACATAAGAATAAGACGAACGTGTACTTTTTCATAATCAATAATATAACAAAATTTTTTGGGGATCTAAACGATATCTCAAAACTTTGTGCGCATGATGTAAATTCATATGGGAAAATTTAATCTCTCTGAAGATGAATAAAAATATGCAAGACCCACAAGAGAAGAATACACGCTGAACTGAGTTGATGGACAGAAATTGAAAATTTAATAATTTTAACACGACAATTGTATTACAGGGCACATACAGTACGCTTACATATATATTGTGTATACTGTATAGTAGTAGTATGGCTCCCCTTTGACCCTGGGTCAAGGGTTATGATTAAATTAACTAACACCGATTTCATTGGCGAGTGTGTTACATCAATCATTGTTGTTAGAGCGTCTGTGAAAATGATTCAGCCTGTTTACGCCTATCCTTGTTACATACGATTACTAAAGTCAGTAAGGCGCTTAACCAGCCATTTATATGACAGTCATAATTAGCTATGGGAAAAGTACAAACCAATTACTCATTAAGGTAGCTCATCGCCCCTAACAGATTTGGGAAATTGGGTAATGTTTGGGGACGATTAGCTCTTGCCAAATAAGGCATTAATTAGAGTAAGCAATAACAGCGTAACTTGTGTGCGATGCCTAGTATCAGAGTCTGGAAGATTGATCACGTAACAGTATCCGAATGTAACTGCGTTTTAATATTAAATATAAGCTTACCAGACATTAATCGATGGTACTGGCGAATAGCTATATCGAATAATTCAGAGAATAAGATATCAATCGTATATGTTCAGAGTAAATGGATACTCGTTTATTGACAATAATAATAATAAAGGTATACGAAACACACCGACTCTAGCTGAAATCCACGCTGCTTTTATATCTTTCGAGTGGACTAATTGATCTATTTTTAGCAGCAATTAGTAATTATTATTTTCTACTGCTATCAGTATACGTTATAGTTGCTGCACTATTGCAGCTGTTACGGTCGGGAATTAAATGAGAGTTTTGGGAGAGCAATTTATCTTTTCGTGTAGGTGTGTTCGACGACCGGGGGATGTTACCAGGCTTAGCTCGTACTATCGCCCTTACTACGATAGTTGTGCAATTAAGACTGAATTAAGCCTCAAGTGACCTATTTTAATTATGCGCACTTCTCACTCCTATCCGAGTTTCAAACACTCGTGATAGTGAATACAAATAAGGGTACCTCTAATAGAATAATAACAACAATTATTCTATTAAAAAATCGAAGGGGAATAATATTATTTATAAAATTAAACAGGGCTATCTTCGATTTGTTTGTCGACTAGTCGGTATCTGTCACTTGTCTTTACTAAATTAATTAAACATTAATCGTCTCGATAATTTATTATGAACTCTCGTTCCGTTATTCACGTAATTGATCAGCGGACGTTATTGGCTTGATTAAAACCAATGCTATTTCCGTTACAGCTTAAGTGAGCCGTTTATTGGAGTTGCTTTACAGCTTGAATGAGCCATTTAGTAGAATGTCCGGTCGAATAATCAATTATTTTGACGATAGAAATTAATGGATATTTATAATAAAGGATTTCTGCTAGAATCAGTAGTATTATTTTATTCACAACAATATTCGAACTTTTTTGATGGTTTCAAGACATGATAACATTAATATAGTATATCCTCGAGCGTTGCGGAAAAAGCGTAACGCTCTTTTAGCTATTTCTGATTATAGTAATTTTTGTGCTGTTGCAAATTTTTGAAACGTTTACTATTACTGCGCTTGTTGCGGGTTTTTCGAGACACTAATTTAACTTTTGTATTACTGAGCTAAATTTAGTGTCGATCATGGGTTTGCTTGACTGCGGAGGAAGATTTTACCATGTGACTTATTTTTCTGATTCATCAGATCAGCTTGCCGTAACACAGCACTTATCTGACTACTATTACTATTGTCTGCTGCACTTTTTGTAGCACCTCGGAGTTACGCAGAAATTCAGGAGAATACGTCATCATTATCGTCGTAACCTCACAAACGTAAGTTACGAAACACGCCTTTGTATTTGATTCAACAATTATTATATATTAAAAAAAAAAAATAATAATAATTAATTTTGGGTCCTTGGACAGGATTTATATAGTGATGATTTACAACATATCTACCATTCTCCTTTAATATTTTGATAAGTTGACTCACCATCCAAGTAAAATGTATACTACTGATATTGAGCACACCATACATTGATTATGTTAATTATAACATTGTCAATACTAATTATAAATTGACACCAAACAATATTTAGATAATTAGAACAATATAAATAACAACTCAAGATCCATCTATATATAGAAAACTAAATATTTTTAGCATTCTACTATGATATATGGCAACTTTATACAAAGTAATGGATAGTAAATTTGATGAGATTGAGGAGACTGGATCAGTCTATACTGCCAAATATAAAGGTAAATCAGAAAAGCATATATTGTTCTCAAATGTTTTAATAATTATAATCAGACACCAAATTATTTCTTTTGAGTAAATTGAGGTTGTATTGTGCATCAATATTTCCTTGTTCAGCTGCTTTCTCATATAGTTCAACTGCTTTTTGAATATTCTTTTCCACTCCTGTCCCATCCTCATAGCAAACGCCAAGATTATTTTGTGCCCTAGCATCTCCTTGTCCAGCTGCTTTCTGATACAGCTCAACTGCTTTTTGAATATTTTTTTCCACTCCTGTCCCATACTCATAGCAAACACCAAGATTAATCTGTGCCCCCAGCATCTCCTTGTTCAGCTGCTTTCTGATACAGCTCAACTGCTTTTTGAATATTCTTTTCCACACCTGTCCCATTCTTATAGCAATGACCAAGGTTACTTTGTGTATGGCATATCCTTGTTCAGCTGCTTTCTGATACAACAAAACTGCTTTTTGAATATTCTTTTCCACTCCAATCCCATTTGTATAGCAAATACCAAGATTATTCTGTGCCCTGACATTTCCTTGCTCAGCTGCTTTCTGATACAGCTCAACTGCTTTTTGAATATTCTTTTCCATTCCTGTCCCATCCTCATAGCAAACACCAAGATTAGTCTGTGCCCCAGCATCTCCTTGTTCAGCTGCTTTCTGATACAGCTCAACTGCTTTTTGAATATTCTTTTCCACTCCTGTCCCATAC